GCTTTTTCTAAATTCTTTTCTGTTCCTTCTCCATTGTTATAATATACGGCTAAATTACACATTGCATTTCCATCACCATTTTCTGCTGCTTTTTGATACCAATAAAAGGCTTTTTCTAAATTCTTTGCTGTTCCTTCTCCATTGTTATAATGTAATAAAGCTAAATTAAACATTGCTTTTTCATTACCATTTTCTGCTGCTTTTTGACACCAATAAAAGGATTTTTCTAAATTCTTTTCTGTTACTTTTCCATCTCTGTAATATATAGCTAAATTAAACATTGCATATTTGTAATCATTTTCTGCTGCTTTTTGATACCAATAAAAGGCTTTTTCTGAATTCTTTTCTGTTCCTATTCTATTTTCATAACATATGGCCAAATTAAACATTGCTTTTTCATTACCATTTTCTGCTGCTTTTTGATACCAATAAAAGGCTTTTTTAAAACTCTTTTCTGTTCCTTTTCCAGTTATATAACATGTGGTTAAACTATTAATTGCATCACTATGACCATTTTCTGCTGCTTTTTGATACCAATAAAAAGCTTTTTCTAAATTCTTTTCTGTTACATCTCCATTTTCATAACATGTGGCTAAATTAAACATTGATACTTTATTACCTAAAGAATTAACATATTCTTTACAGCAAATTTCTTTGGTAAAAGGTTTATTGCAATATGAACAATTTTTGGAGTTTACTGTATTGGTATCTTTATGTGGGATTTTTGATTCACTAAATTTTGTTTCCATCTGGCTGTTTTGGAAATTTTTTTTAACAATACTTTTTTTTTATTCAATATTTCATAAATACCAAAGTAGGAGTTTTAATAAGAAAATTTGGGGTTATATTTTTACCGATGCACTGATTTGCATTGAAAATTTCCTTAATTCATATTTTGTGTAACAACTGTGGCTGTATTTGTGGCTCATATGACTTAAGTAACAATAATATTAAAACGCTTCCATCCAGCCCTACTGTGAGACTGCGCTTATAAAGTAAGCATGGTATGCTCCCACCCATACATAGCATCATGCTGCTCTAACAAAAATACCAAAAAAAGTAAAGAAATGAATATGGATGAGATGAAGAAAGGGAAGCAGGGAAAGAAAAGAAGGAATGAAGAGGGAGTGTGTGTGAAAGAGGAACGGAATGATATATTAACCCGGCAAAAAAAATTTTTTTATAAATCTTTTTTAAGGGGAAAAAGATAAAAAATTGCGAAGTAGGAATTAAAAGAGAAAATGAGAGGAAAGAGAAGGAACGGAAAGAGTAAGATGAAAGAGAACGAGGAAAAAAAGAAGATGAGAGAGAAAAGTGAATAAATGAAATATAACTACGAGTAAAAGAGACTTTTGTATAAATTTGGTTTGATTATTACCCATACGTAAAGTCTCTATAATCAAATTATGTCATGATTACAATATTTCCCGCGAAAGAGATGATTATTGATCTTGTATGTGTACAATGAAAAAATCTGCCGATCTTCAAAATTGAGGGCTCTAAAAAATTTTTTCGTCGAAACAAAAGAGATTTAAACACGCGCATAGTTGATCAAGGACCGCTTAAGACCTTTAAGTTACGATAACTTTTATAAAATTTGTTGAGATTTTTTACGTTTAACAAACGTTTGGTTTATTATTGGTTATTTACGCCAAATCATCAGCATAAATATCATACTTTTATATACTATTTTCGATTATATAGTTATCAGATACGATTTTGAAAACCTGTACGGTACTGTTGATCATTTTTCCAAAATTTCAAAAATTCCGTACCGTACCGTATTATATATATTATATATATTAGAATAAGTACAGTACGGTTGATTTTTTTTTATATATCCAAATAACTACAGACATTAATGTCCAAATAACACCATAGTAAATGGACGTTGTTGTTCAAATAACCACCATAATTAAATGGACCATTTAACTATGCATTGCGGCGGATTTATGAAATTTGGCAAAAACCCTGCTGCGCCCTCGGGAATTAAAATTGACTTACAGAAACATTAAGCTTTTTAAAAAATGTCAAATATGACGCACCTTTAACACTGGAAAAATTGGTTAGGTAACGGAAAAATTGGTTAGACGCAAGATTTGGGGTACAAAAAATTTTTTTAGGGCTCATTTTTGACCGTTCACTAATAAATTTGGGAAATTTGGTGACTAAAAGACTGTCAAATATCCATTTAATTTGACATGACGGACAAATTTAGGGTATTTCATAAATCCGCCGTGATGGGTGGTTATTTGGACAATAATGTCCGTAGTTATTTGGACATATAAAAAAAAATTAACTGTACCGTACTGTACTGGCTCTAATATTATTATATATAGTACGGTACGGTACGGAATTTTTTGGAAATTTGATCAACAGATTTGCAAATTCGTACTGACGCAATAACTATTATTTATAAAACACCTTATTCTTTTTACCGCAATTCTACTTATAGGCTGTAAAAAAATATATATATTTATATGCATTAGGATTATGAAGGTATAGATGCTCATTCAAAATAATAGTATAAGATATTATTAATACAGTTCACCCTCGCTATAGTGAAGCTCTTGGCTGAAGGTTAAGATTCATTATATTAAGGGATTCATTATATTAAGGGATTCACTATAGCGAAGGTGAACTGTATTAAGAATTATTATTTATATAGAAAATCCGTACCTGAGCTTTTCTTTACTATAGCAAATTATTCATTATATAAAAATTCACTATAGCGAGGGTGAACTGTACTTCAAATTCAATCGTCTAATGTAGTCAGGTTTTATTTTAAACCCCTAATATAAATATATTAAATTATTTACTAATTAATTATATTTTATTAACGATTTCTTGGTGATAGTGTACTTCAAAGTCCTGAAATGTTAATGGTGTCAGTTTTATGTTATAAATTGCAGATAATAATGTTTTCTATCTTGTAGAAATAGTATATGATTTATGAATGATGAGTTTAGCAAATGTAATTTGAATTTCTTTTGATAAAAATAAGCTTATAAACTTTGAATCAAAAAATTTGTTCATGATAACAAACTACTTTATTACTGCGGTATTAGATTTATATATTGTAATGGGTTATGTATGTATATGGATTTCATCGTAATGTAAACCATCATAGAATCAAACGTAAAACGCAATCAATATCTTACATTTTTATTAAATATCTGAACTTTTTAATGATGCACTTGCATTTATCTTTTTGAATTAAAAGAGTCCCGCATTGGACGACGTCACGTGAGGACAGAAATTCACGTGATCGATCATTTTCATAGTAGACAACTAGACATATACAATCTTCGCTTCGCTCCGAACAATAATATCAATTATCGTTCTTGTTTTTTTTACCAATATTATTATTGTTGCTACATAAGTGCATTTACAAATGCGCAATATTTTAAAAAGAAATAAATAAGTAATGATTTACTATTGATTTTATATGACTTTGTTACATTTTTTATTGTATCATTTGTAAATAAAAATTTTAAGCCCGAATCATTATTACAAAAATTTCTAAGACTAAATAAATAAATAAATATGATATAACAGATAATATGTAAACTTTATTTACATCTATATAAAAATTGTCCTCTAGTACAATAATAATAAAATTTTAACTAAATCTAAAAATGAAATTATTAAATAATATTCATAACTAAATCACGAACTTTCATTAAAAAGTTTGTAGTCTTTAGTACACTATTTCTAATAATAAGACCAAAATATCCAACTGGTGTAATGTGATTTATTGTAGCGTCTCTAGATTTTAACACATCAACAGGTGCTCGTTTTAACATTTTATTTTCATATTCTTTAATACAAGAAATATAATTCTCCGGGGAATAGTTAAGTAACGCTTGAGAAAGAGCTTCAGCATCTTGAATAGCATGTGTTGTTCCTAATCCTAATAAAGGACTCATAGCATGTGCTGCATCTCCAATTAATGTAACTCGGCTACTTGTCCACGAATTAATAGTTAATGGATTGATATCTCGTATTTGTCTTCGTTGTATTGGATTATAAGTTTTAAATGGATAATTTTCTGACTCTTTTGGAACTGCTTTAGGAGCTAAATCCCATAGTTCTAATAAAATATCTGTCATTTCATTCTCTGGCCTTAATTTTCGAATCATATTTTTAACATGTTCAACAACTGATGCAGGATTATTATCATCAACTTTAATTTTTTCAGTTTCATCATTATCTAATTCACTGGAATAGAAATATGCTATTGTTGTTCTATAATGAAGTTCATCAGAATTGTTTTTATTCTCGTAATTTTGTTCTTGTTCAATTGAAATTAAACGAAATGCAATGAGTGTTGCATCTCCATTTAATCCAAGTGTTTTTTGAACTAAACTATTTCCACTAGTTTTAGTTAGCCTGTCCATTAGATGTTTAGGCACAACGATATTTGCAACAACATAAGTTGCTCCAATATCGTTAATTTGTAATTCCGGTAATTTTTGCTTTCGAACTAAAGAAAAAAAAAAAATACATATTAATTATTAGTCAAACAATAAAATAAATAATATTTTATTTTAATAAATTAAATCTTGAATTTTTACCTGGAGAATTAACTCCACTTGCATCAACTAAAATGTCACAAAATTCTTGTGAACCGTCCTCGAAATTTACCCAAACACCTTCGTTAGTTTCTACATATCTGACAAGCTTTTTACCCCATTGAACTGGAACATTTTCTAATAAAACATCTCTAAGTCTATCACGATAAGCAACAGTCATTGATAGAAAACGATCGGGAGTTTCTGCGATTTCATAAATATTTTTAAATTGTTTAAATGGGGGTCTTAATAAAAGATTTCCCTCGTGATCATTAGCTGAAACTCCATGATGTTCTACATCAGGAACTGGGTTTGGAATTGCTTTTGGAAGGTTCAAAGCGACTGAGGATGGAATACAATTCATAAGTGATCGAAATCCATGAGATGTAAATCCTACATGATAACCTTGCCATCGATCTAATGTTTTTAACACGAAATTGAGTTAGTCACGTGATATTGTTAATGAAAGGATAATTATAAAAATTCATACAAATTATTTACCTTTAGGACCAGATTCTCGTTCAAAAATCTTTACATTGAATTCTTTTTTATCTTTATTTTTTATCAAAGAATGATAAAGAGTAAGCCCTCCTGGACCTGCACCGATAATAATTACAGTTGGAACTTTTTCTTGATACATTTTCGGTATAGTATTATTTTCTTTTTTAAAATTTTTAATTTTAATTTTTTGTAAAATTTTGATAAGAATTGTTTGAATGTATTATTTTAAAAAAATTTAATTTTTTCTTGATGAATTCTAACATGAAAATTGTGGAATATTTATAATAAAAATGATCTTGACGAAATTGACCTAAATTTAACCGAAATTTACCCGAAATTTACCCGAAATTTACCCGAAACTTGATCGACATTTAACCGAAATTTAACCGAAATTTAAACTGAGATATTTTTCCAAAATTTATCCGAGTTGCATGAGAACAACACATACTGTACAGTGTACACCTTATTTTACAAATTCAAACTTTCCCATAGAGATAATCAATACTGTACCTTATTATTTGAATAATTTGTTCGTTTAATTCTTAATTTGTTAGACTTATTTTCGCTGATGAAAATTTTAACAGGCAGAATTGAAGTATATTTAAAATAAATTGAAACGAACATATTTTAAATGTTAAAAGTTCGCATTATTAAGATTATTAAAACAATCGATTAATTTAAAGGTAGAATTACACAATTCAAAATTTTATATTACTGTATATGGTATCTTGATATCCCTTTGTGTTCTTTGTGTTTCAAATATGATGATCATTTTATTCATCATTGTATCATTCATTCATTAGCCATATCGTCATTCATTCATTAGCCATATTTAACATCATTATAATTTGAATAAAATTCCTAAATATGTAAGGAAAATTATGTAAATACCACCATTCCTGGCAGCCAGAGCTATAATCTGTTCGGATTACATGACTTCCTGCTAGTATTGTCAATAGCTTATCTAATCATATAGAGGCGGGAAAGCTTATCTTTACTACTTATGTATTATTAATTATTAGGCCACACAAATTTTGATTTTTCGGTCCCGGGTCAATTTTGTAAAACTTCGAAAAAAAATTTTATATATTGTTTATTAAAATTTGTCAGGTAAACATTTTTAAAAATTGAAAAAAAAATTTTTATACGTTTTTTGTATTTTTTAAGGATTCATGTAAAATTTTCTATTATAAAAAACAAAAAATAAAACTTGGGTTGCAGTTGAGGTGCACATTGGAAAAATCAATGGTATATTGTTTATAAGAAAATTTAGTAAAGGTCGTGGTTTTTCTATTTTTGTTATTGTTCGGTGTGAAAATTTTATTTTTAAGTGGATATAGAGTGACGTTATGATGCTGATGATGATAGAGCCTATGGAAGCGGAGATTACCGCAATAGCGATAGCTCACATGGGTCAAGGATATAGAAGACAAAATAAACAAGACGATTGACAAGACCGGTCAAATAAAATTTTAGATTCTATAACGGATTATATATATATAAATTTTCAATACGTAAATTTTATAGTACTGAATATATTTATTAGTTCATTAAAATCAGCTCTAGTGGCAAAATATTGCGCAAACTACACCGTATACTAAGGTACTCGGTATTCAACTTTTTTAGCACAAGTAATTGTTCACGCATAACTGATAACTGATCCGTAAGCTCTTCATTCGTATTCTAAAATAAAATATTATATATCCTTGCAGCCTCAAGTTCTCTTTGGTTTCTTCTAGCTTTTCTTTCCAATCCTTCCTTTTGAGTTACAGTAGCTTTTTGTACATTATCTCCCAATTTGATTGTTGAGAAAAATAATAAAAAATAAATTAAGCTTCAAATTTGTTAAATTCACAAATAATTGTAATTTCTCTACTGTCAACGATTGTCATCAAATAAGAAAAAATTATTTGTTAATAGTTCATCACGAACTTGCTTATTTGCACCATTCGACATTATATTATTCAAACATTGACAAGTAATTTATTACGCCCAATAATTTGATCACTATATAATAAAAAAATTCTTCCGACATTTCCATATAAATAATTTGCGCCCAATCTATCCCATATTTATTATGGTTATTAATTTGGTTGTTGCACGTTTTCCAATTTGTGTGGCTAATCCGATTCCGGCTAATGAAATTTTGATCGGATATTTTTTTTCTTGCTAATGAGATAATTCAAAGTTTAATTTGAAAAAAAAAAAAAATATTTTTAAATTAGTTTTTTTTTTTTTCAACTGAAAAATAATTTTATCTTTTATTTTTAATAAAACTTAAATATTTAATAATTTTAATAATTTTCAAATTTTACGTAATATTTAATATACGTATGAACCAAATAATAATAATAATTTAAATACTATATTTTAAAATTTTACTAATTAGCGATGGAATATAGGAAATATTTAAGGGAAGCTCATTTGTCTCCGATTTTTCGCTAAAATGATTTATTAAATTTAAGACCATTGATCCTGGTGCAAAGCAACGGGTGACTGTTAGCTTAAAAAAAAGAAAATTAAGAAATTTTACTGATTTTATCGAGTATAGAAAACAGCTACTATTTCTTTCCTGGTTTGTATGGTTTGTGCGTTAGATTTAGATTACGATTTGATTACAGAGTAACGCTCCTCACGAATTCGTGTCTTATTTATATAAAAAAATGTAATAATGAAAAATTATGTATAATTTATTACGATATTTTGTATTATAGATTGTTTAATCAATTTAATATTCATCAATTTCATCATGATAATAGTATTACGCTCATGTAATAGTTATTATGAGGAAAAAATATTTTTTCTTGATTAAAATCATGATAGCAATGGAGATTCCACATGAAATATGTATATTCTGTTATTTCTGTGTATTCTTCTGAATGAAGAATTTTTTCATGAAAATTAATTGCGTGAAAATGTACCTTTTTGATTTAATAAATAACATAACGTAAATTATGTAAAATGTGATGAAAGCAATGGTACGAATGGGCCTTCAACTCATGGTAGTTGACACAGTTATTAAACCCAATCGTAACTCCGTAGCAACCTCACTTGGATATGAGTTCCAAGGTCAAGATAAAGACGATGATATTAACTATGTGAAAGAAGTTCTTGTATATTATATTGAAGAAGTTGAACATATCATTGTCATTGGGGGCGCTACGTTGGACTTCTTTTATGGACTGCTTCGTCCGCGTGTTTGACTCGGATGCTATGAACAGCTTGTTATGGTTTCATGGTGATTATTCTAAAATATTGGAAAGAGAGGAAAAGGGACTTAAAAACGGCCGGGAGTGTCATGGTTTTTGTAGAGTCCGAAGGAATTGCTATTGAAACTAAGAGTGGTATGTGCGAATTTCGCTCATATTTTTATTAATATATCTTAAACTATTATATCTATTTCTTCACTTTAACTTTCTTGTTGAAGAAACCAAAAAGAAGTTGAAAACGAAAAGCTCAAGAAAGAAACGTTATCACTGATTTGGTGTTTGCGTGTACTTTTGATTGATTTTTTTTACGATCATATGATGATGCTAAGAATACAAAATCAAAATTTTATTTTGAAACGTAAAAAAGCGATTAATATTTTTACAACAAGCGTAAAGAACATATTTTATTTTTTTTTCCATGTACGATACAACTAAGCTGTAATTTTCTAGAGTGAATAACCTTATTTTAATTAGTAATTAATTAACTTTAGATAATTGTAATCAATAAAATGTTAATCAATCTTTAGTAGCAAAAAAATAATAAATCGAACATTAACCATAACATGTCGGCCCTGTTCTGAACGAATCATTCTTTATAAGAAAAGATATTTTGCTATATACAACTAATCAACTACTAATATTAAACAGAAAATATACATAATATCTCAAATAAATAATTTCATGGATCGTTTCGAATATATTTTCTAAATTGACTATCATAAAGTAACACAAGCAAACAATGTTATTTCAAGTTTCAATGACAAATTTATTTTTTGTTTATCCCCAACAATATAAACTTAGATTAATTGTTCATAGTATTACATAGAAGGGCATAGATTTTACCCAGGGATATAAAGTATTGGCCCACATAGTACCAAACCGAACGATTATTGGTTCGCAAGAAGAATTGATTTTATGGGTTACCACCTTCCAGGTTAAAATCCGTGAATTTCTTTGGCGTGTGGCTTAATTATTCTCCAAATCGGTTACTTGGGTTTTAATTCATCAATTAGAAAATTCTTATCTCGATTTAGTTAATAAAATGAATCTTCAAATTTTTGTGTATTATAAAAAAAGAATTAATGTACTGAAAAAGTAACGCTTTACTAAATCTGGCATAAAAAAATCGATCTGATAAAATGATTGTTGCATAAAAAAATTAAGCAATCATAAATCTGCACGATACAATTGCTCAAAAAATTATTGCAAAAAAAAAAGTGAAAATAATTATGCAAAAAAATGCAAAGTTACAAAATTTATAAAGAAAATTAAACGTAAAAAAATATATATAGCAAAAAAATAAAATTATGCTAAAAAAAAAATACTCCCGATCATTGTGATCATTGAATGATTGGATTTTATACTTTTTTTAATTTACCCAATTCAAGTGCTTGGGAAAATACAGATAACCAAATTTTCAGCATAAATACAAATTTTTTTTGTAAATCTTTATTTCACAGATTCCATCAATGGAGACGCGTCGTTCCATTTCATCATTATCAACTGAATCACGTCTTTCAGAAGTGACAAGTGCAGAAGCGTCAAATTCTACCCGAATTGATGATGAAAAAAAAAAGGATGAAAGTGTAAATAATAATATTTTTTCATTCCTTCTTTAATCAATTCTATAGGAAGAATAAACAAGATTTTGGGAAACGATAATATAAATAGTACAAATTCATCCATTATTTTAACAAAAAACTGAAACATTGGACTTTTCGAGATTTTTGACAGTTGGATTATAGAAAATGTAGATGAATACAAGAAAGGTGCAGCCCATAAATTTTTTTATAAAAAATTAAGAATTCCATCAAGCAAAAGGTTCAAAAGTGCTAAAAAATTATTAAATGATAAAAAGTAAGTAATTTTGAAGTTTTTAATTATGGTTTACTGTTTTTGGTCATTCTGGCTTGACTTTGATAGAGGAATTTTGTATTTACATTTTTTTATCAATTTTTTATAAAATCTCAAGAATACAAATCAGTTCTGGAAAACGATGAAACTTCTGAGGCCGAAGAGCGAACTTTGGCAATAGAAGAAAGGAAATTAGTTATCAGAGAGCAAATGGCCAAAGTTTGCTTTAAAATGGCAAATATAGAAAATGAGCAAGAAGCTAGAAAAGAGCGAACTTTAGCCATAGAAGAAAGAAAATTAGTTATCAGGGAGCAAACAGCCAAAGTTCGCAAAGAGCAAGAAGCTAGAAGTAAGATAAAATTTTTTATCATCAATACAAATGCAATAAATGCAATAAATGTCTTTTCCCCAACTTCTCATCTATTTAACAGCCATAAAGGAAACTTTAACACTCCAAAAAAAACAAAGAAAATACACTTTTCATTTATTTCCTTTTTAATCACTTTACAATTTTCCTTTATTTTTCAAATTTCTCTAATTACTTTAAAAAAATTTAGTAGTAGTTTACAAATTATAGTGTAACAAAAAATTACTGTGTAATACAATAAATAAATCATAATAAATCATAATCTCTTCTATTCGAATGATTTTTTTTTTCATTATAAAATAAAGACAACATTAAATATTTTTGGATCTCATTTTTATAATCGATTAATCGATTATATAATAGAAATCAATACTTTTATCGATATTTCCAAATTCTTGTACGACACAATATTGTATTATAAAGATAAAACTAGAAAGATAATAAAATATACGAAAAATAATTAAATTATTTAAATATGTTATCCATAAAATATAAGGTACAAATTTTTTATTTGCCATTTTTTTTTCTTTTGCAATTATACAAAAAATGAAGTGTCTTATATTTTTAATTAATTATAAAACATGCGATTTTAATAGTGATGATCTTTATAGCCGTAAAAATTCATTATTTTCAACCTTGTTATTGGTCATCAGATTATCAAATATTTAAGACATTTTCACTTTTTCTAATTTAATTATTAAATATTAATGAATCTCATTCACGCTTACATTTTTGTATTATCCTTATTAGAATTTATCACAGCATGTCTTTACATTTTTCATCAAAATTTCCTATTAAAAACCTGTCTTAATCTTAGATGGGAGTAATTTAAATGATAATGTAAATGATGTGTATCAGTTGTTCGTTTTCAAAATGGTAAGGAATTGATTAGAGCTAATCAAAATGAGTCTGAAAATTATTTAAAATGTGGAATTCGAATATGAATTTAAAAATCTCAAAATTATATTCGAACCTCAACTCATTCGAATCTCAAATCTCAACTGGTATTCAAATATTTTTCTTCGAATCTAGCCTATTTACTGTCGACTAGATTACCATAATACAGTCAGACCTCTATTTACCGATAATTGCCTGTACCGATTACAATTAATAAGAAAACCTCGTTGTACCGATATTATATATAGTTTCACGATGTAACAATTGTAACATGTACCGATACTTTTCTTTGCCCCTTTATTACATAGTAAGATGTTACACTGATCTTAATTCGGGTCACACTATAAATTTGGCCAGAGTTAACATCTAAATCATATGACATTTTAATATATGAGATTTTATTGGCTATCTGGAGTTTGCATAATGCTGGCAAGAATTGGATTTTGGCCCGCATTATGATTCACTGATGATATGTAGCGATAATTTGATATACCGATATATTTTTTCCAAAACAATAGTATCGGTACATAACATAGAGGTCCGACTGTACCATTAAATATATTGGCTAAATGTTGTGAAATTTATTTATTAATTGTTTAATTATATAATAAAATCTTTTCTAATAATTAAATTAGAATAAATTAAAGAGTATAATGCCTTTTTATCTATGGGAAACTTATTAATCAACATTATGGGCCAGAAAAGATCTCTCCAAACTTGCATCTATGTTTACATATGGTATTTGCGAATGTACATTTGACTATGGCACTACATTCATTTTGGTGATTGAATTATATAGACGATAACTATTTATTATTAAACCGGCTGAAACAGTTTTCCACAAATAAAATCTTAATTAAAAATTTCATCATAATATCAACATTTGTTTTCGAAAAAACAAATTTTTTTTTCTACATTTTCAGGACTAAAACTGCTGTGCTTATTTGTAACTAAATTTCCAATATCGGAAAGTAATCTCTTTGAAGAGACCGATGTAGCAGTTAAAATTTATGATATCTAATATTTTAACAAAAAGTTAACCATTTAGTATCGTGTATCGTGATACTGTCAAAATTCTATATAAGTATTTTTGTTCAACTACAAATAAGTACAATCTATCCAAACTAAATAAAACGAAAGCGCAAAAAAAAATTATGGTTATAAAAATAGTGGAGGTCAGCCAGCATAAGTACTAGATAATATAGTATATGATGCACAAAAAAGAATCATATTCCGAATTTTCTCCAGCCGATTATGCTTCCTAAACTAGTGACTAGAGATACTACAAGTAGTAGAAAATGTAATTCTCCCACATCTAAATGGTTAGATAAATTAGAAATAGGCGTTGCTGTAACCGTAACTGTAACAACAGGATAGGATACTTCGGGAGGAGAATTTATAATGTCAATTGATTCATCACATATCTCCACATCGTATTTAAAAGATTTGTATCCAGAATCATCTTTAATTTGGCAGAACCCCGACGCCATGGAATCTGAACAGACTATAAATTTGGGATTTTTAAGTTCGGTAGGCGGATCAGCCGGCCCTTTTGGTGAAGGAGCTGCGGGTGCTGGAGAAGCTGCGGGTGGAGGAGCTCCGGGTACTGGAGGACCTCCGCCGGCTGGAGGATCTCCGGGTGCTGGGCCTTTTGGTGGTGGTGGTGGTGGTGGTGGTGGTGGGGATGGTTGTAATGGTGGTGGTGGTGGTGGTGGTGGTAGTGAATAATTATAACCATTAATTGAAGAAGCTATGATATTGCGACCTAAGATAATTTCTATCACATTCCAACCGCTTAGCTTGCTAGTATCGTATGGTAGGTCGGTTACTCCCTTGAGACAATAGATACCACTTTGATATTGGCAGACTGTCTGAGCCAAAGTATCATTTCGATTACAAGCATCTAATTGACTAATAAACCAACAATGAGCCATTTTTTTAGTAGAGGTACACATGGAGGGGTTGGCCAAGCAGGGATTATTATCTTCACAACATAATAATTTCCCGGCTGGTTGTAAACCTCCGAGTACTAACTTACATATAGTACTACCACTCTTACTTTGTCTTTTCACTAATTGCATTTCCATGTTATAGTATTTTATTTATTTATAACGTATATTAATAAATTAGTAAAAGTAGAAACCACGACATACATTTGTTAAATGTAAAATTATTTTGCAATGCAAAGCCGTAAAAACGAATAAAAGTTCTGTACTTCTTTTTATAAAAATCATTTTCATTTATTCATTTCTCAATAAGAAAAAACTTACCATTTTATTATGACAAATAAAATCTCCAAATTAAATTAGAAAATAAATAAGAATTGTTTATGGTATTGTTTTACGTTCTCATTTCATTTTCTTTTTTAATCGTTTCATTTGAAATGATGATATTCATCATGCTTGCAGTATTGTTTACCTGCCTTTGTGCTACAAAACCATCATGCCAGTGTGATACCTTGCAAGGGATAATATCGCATTATAAGATTAAGCAATGGATAATTAATAAATTAAATGAAGAAAGATAATAATTTCGGTAAAATGCCCTTTCAGCAAACGGTGTCTCGTTAAAATATCCCTTCATCAAAATCAGAGTAAACTTTGAGATTGGCGATTTTTTTAACTAATAATTTTGGCATTATTTGTCTGTAAGCAAACCATCAAATATCAATCATGTTTATTTTGCGTAAGTATTTAGATAGGCTTAAATGTTTAAATATCAAGCCGTGACTAGCTTTATGTACTTATTATGTAATATTAATTCTTAAGATACAAATATTTCTACCTATTTGAGTGTAATATTAATTCTTAAGATACAAATATTTCTACCTATTTTGAGGGAAATACGCAAAAGCGTAAGTAATTCAACATGTAAAGCTATTTATTTATTAAATAATCAAATAAAAATTCAATAACGACCGCGTGAATAATCTTATACATTAATATATACATTATATATAATACCTATATGTTATATGATATACAAAAAGAAGGATTATAATCCAAATTTTTTTGCACTAATTATGTTTCCTAAACTAGAAATTAGAAACACTATAAGTATTAGAGAATATAACCCTCCCGCCTCTAAGTGATTGGAAAAGTTTGTACTAGGTTTTGCTGTAACCGTAGTTATAAGAATTTGTGTAACTGTAGTAGTAGCATTAGAAATTTTCGGGAGAGAATTTATAATGTCAACTGAATTATCGCATATTTCTACATCGTAGCTAAAAGATTCATATCCAGCATCATCTTGAATTTGACAGATTCCCGAAGTCATAGAATCCGAACAGATTATAGATTTAGGATTTTGAATTGTGAGTGCTCTGACTGCCAGAGCTTTACCAGGAGCTTTACCATCCGCAGGCGCAGCACCCGCTGGGGGCGCAGGAGCTTTACCATCCGCAGGCGCAGCACCCGCCGGGGGCGCAGGAGCTTTGCCATCAGGAGCTTTACCGGGAGCTGGAGCTGCTGGTGCTGGTGCTGGTGCTGGTGGTGGAGGAGGAGGAGGATACTTACTGACATAACCATTGACTGAAGAAACTGCAGTATTGCGACTTAGGATCACGTCAATTACATTCCAATTGCTTAGACTGCTATTATCGTATGGATGGTCGGTTACTCCCTTGAGACAATAGACACCATCCTGATATTGACAAACTGTCTTAGATAAAGCATCATTACGCTTACAAGCATCTAATTGACTAATAAACCAACAATGAGCCATTTTATTAGTGGAGGAACAAACGGGGGAATTAGCCAAACAGGGTTGATTATCCTCACAACATAGTAATTGTCCAACTGGATGTAAACCCCAGAGTACTAATTGACATACGCTACCACTAGTAGATGTAGTAGATGGTGCTTGTCTTTTATCTAGTGGGTTATTAATACTAGTTACTTCCATAATATAATATTTTAATTATTTATAATATATACTAATTAGTAAAAGTAATGAAAAATCTTGACGTACAGGTTTATAAATTGATAATTATATTTTTTATATTTTTTTCAATTTTTTTTTTTTAATTGTAATTATTATATAGAAAGATGAAATTAATCTAGAGTTAAAATCATTTTTGAAATGTTATAAATAATTTATGCAGAGTAAAAGCCGCTAACGTAATGAACATTCTGTTTGTAGTAAATAAATACTTTTTTTTTTTTATTTTGTCAGAAAAAAATTGATAAATTTTTTAATAATAATTTCTCTAAACTAAAATTGGAAAGTAAATAAAAGTCCTTTTATGGTGTCATATTACGTTTTCATTATCATTTTTCCTTTTTATTTTGTTATAATTATTTCATTGACATAAATGATATTCACTATGCTTGCAGCATAGACGCCTGTGATACAAACTAACATATGATACCAGCATTATATCCGGCAGGCGATCATTTCTGAGACAAAATTCTCGACGTACAATATCGTATTATAAAGTTAAATAATAGTTGATAATATATATATCGCGCTTACTTTGCAAGCTCGTGAGTCATTTTTTGTTAAAGTAGGTTCAAAAAATAAATAAAATTGAACATTTGCATTTTTTTTTATTTTTTTTTTCAATTACAGTAGTAATTTACGCTAAATATTCACATATTAATAATATTTAATCAAATAAAAAAAAAGTGTGTACATATATGAAAAATAATTTATTAATTGTTATGTTTGAAAATATCATTGCGTTCTTGAGTTATTCTTATTACTAATTATATTAATATGATACAATTGTTTTAGTAAAATGATATAAAAATTCATGGTCGTCAAATTTTTTTTTAATTTTCCGCGGAATAAACTATTGGCTTTGTATAAATGTATTATTAGTATGATGAATATCATTGCAATAAATGAAAGCTATTTATAATTAAGGTTGATACTAAAAACGAGTTCTCATTTACTAATTTTCAACTTTCTCGTAAATGAACTACGCAATTTGCGTTTAGCTTAAAATTAATTTTTTTTTTTTTTGTAAATAAAACTTTCCATTATGTGTTAACGCCTTTTTCCCGCATAACAGATAACAGATAAGTTATTTTAATTTAACTTAAAAATGCATTTCATTTGGTAGAGATGATCGACATAATTAAACAAAGTTCGTTCATTAAAAAAAAAAAAAAAGTATAATTATAATTTCATACATTCGGCAGATTTTAGATTTCTCTCTAAAATACCTCTAAGATTAATTTTCATTAATTATTCAAAATAATTACATTAGTTAATTTATTATAAACTATTAAACAAAAGACAGATTACGGCTATGAGTGCTAGCATATGTCAATTAGTGTTAAGAGGTTTTCAACCACCTGGACAACTATTATGTTGTGAGAAAGATAGTATCTGTTTAAATAATGCACCTATCTGTTCTTCCACTAATAAAATGGCTCAATGTTGGTTTATTAACCAGTTAGATTCTTGTACGCGAAAGGATGCTTTGGCTATGACAGTTTGTCAATATAAGGATGGTGTCTATTGTCTCAAGGGACAAACCGACCAATCATATGACCGTAGCAAATTATCATGGAGTGCAATAGATTTGGCATTAAGTCGTAATAATTTGTCCAATTCAAATAATGGTTTTACTATGAATTATGATAATTTTCCTGTTCCCGTTCCTGATCAAAATCCAAATGAATATATATTTTGTTCAGATGCCATGTCTTCGGGAGTCTGTCAAATTCAAGATAGTAATGGGTATAAGCCTTTTTACTACCTAGTAGAAGTATGTAATAATGCATTTGACGTTATAAATTCTTCTCCCCAAATATCCAATGCTACTGTTACTGTTATGGCTACTACTACTACTACAGCTACTGCGACCGTTACACAAACAGTCACAGTTAAAGCGTCTAGTGGTTTCTCTATTCATTCAGAGGTGTCTTCTCTACCACTTGTAATGTTGCTGATTACTATTTTTGTAAATATAATCGTGGGGAAATTGAGAATATAATTTTTTTTGTACATCTCACAATCTCACATGTATTGTTATAATTAAATAACTTATTTAGATATCATAAGTAACCATGGTTACAATCTTATTTTAATAAATTATAATATTTATTGATTTCTGATCAAAAAAAAAAAAATCTTTCTTTATTATCTCAAAGAAAGTGTTAAGGTGATACGCGGATATCAAAGATGCTATATATATTTCTGTAAATACCATAACGTGAAAAGCTAAAGAATAATAAATTACAAATCAAGTCAAAGGTTGGTATGTAGAAATTAGATTCGTACCAGTATAACTCGAATCAAACTTGCACAAGTTGCACTAGAGTCGATATTTGACGCGGGCAATTCCGTCTAGCATTATTCTTCTTAATGTTTGGGTAAAAATGAAGGTTTTGCCAGGAAAATTTAATTTAAATGCTGATTCTAAGCACGATACCCGCGCAATAACAAGAATGATAATCATATTATACTTTTCATACTTTTCATAAGCTTTATATTAGATTTAATATTAGGCTCAGATTAATTAATATAACCAATTAATTTTATATCATTTAATATAAAATCATGTTTCTCAATAAATTTGATGCATAATTTTATACGACATTATAATAAATTCAATCATTATATAATAAACATACTAAATATTGGTACAATATTTACCTATCGGGCCGTATATTAAATACGAGTTACGCATTTAATAATTAATGAATTTGTTAATATTACTTGGAAAGATAAGCTAAACAAATTAGCTTGTATTGCAATTAGACTTCAAAGTATACATAACTTAAATATGGAAATATAAAAATAGTTGCAATAATAGGTGATTTAGGGACTAAGTAAATCATCATTAGATGACAAATATGTGGAATTTGTCTTTTATCGGGATCAGGGTGCCAACATTTTGCGTTAATTTAACATAACCTTCATGCAACTGATTGTTTCTATACGATACGATTATGTACACTATTTTAAAAATAATTACAACCTAAAGACAAAAGAATAATCTGTTTGAAGGTACAATAAATTTTTTTTTTTACATGATCAATCTTTCAACTAATTTATTTTTAATTTAAAAATATTTTTAAATATTTTTCTATTAATTACGATTTTTCTTTTAGATTATTTGACAACAAAACTTGAATTAGATATTGATAATAACGTGCAATATAGCAATAATGGCCTATGTTTGGTGTAAATTTACGAATATTTAATTAGTTTCGTTTATAATACATAAATTATATTGCTGAAGAAATTAATCTTGATATTGACATTTCGGTGGTTGGAATTTTTAATTATTAATAGGATATTGTTTTATATTATATTATTTATTTAAAATAATAATAATAATCACTTATACTGTATAAGATGATTATTAAATATCGACAAATAAAATTTCAACTCTTCAAAGTATGCTTATGAAAAAATCAATAGAACTCATGTTGAATGTTTATGTATAACTGAAAATATAATTCACGCATAACTTCACCGCAAACGAATAATTAACGTAAATAATTGGGAATTGGTTGCGCAAAAATACGTAGGAAATTTATAAAAAAAATTCTAAAGTGGCTTCATTCTTTAATGAAATTTCAATAGTAGATTCATCACATTAATAAAACTAAGTGATATTATTAATCAACGTTGGCAGTAACTCTGGCAAAATTTATAATGTCAGTCGGAATTAAAAAACTTATAATCATATAAACCGCCGCTTTATAAATTTTGCCAAAATTACTGCCGATCAGTTTTTAAGGGTTTCCGTAATTTTCCGGTTAGCAGACGGGCTGAAAAATTTAATGCATATCGAATTCTGGTCGCACAGACAGGACGATATACATTATTAAATGAAACAACTAAAATGGGTTCTTATTTATCAAAATCGTGTTAATTTATTTATAGTTAGAAGTTTGCAACAAAAAATATATTTATGATTACCATAAAAGAATTCTCATTTACTGTATTTTTTTTTCTTTTTCTTTTTCTTTCAAGATGGAAAAAAAAACAAAAAAAAAAAAAATCCGTGTAACTAATATTTGCGCTATTTATATGTTTATATCGATCAATTTTCAAAATAAATAGAACTTTCCATTATTCTTGCGTCTTTATCCTATAGATTATTTTAATTTAACTTAAAATCGCATTCATTTATTAGAAAATATAATACTAAAATACTAAAATTCATTATTTAAATAATCAATAGATTTATGTATCGAAATTTCTCCCTCAAATACCTAAAAATTATTCTTTATTATTCAAAATAATAATCATATTATGGAAATCGATCATAAACCATTAGAGAAAAGACAAGCTTCGGCTATGAGTGATAGCATATGTCAATTAGTGCTCAAGGGTTATCAACCAACTGGACAATTATTATGCTGTGAGGCAGGTAATGCCTGTCTGGGTAATGCACCCATTTGTTCTTCCACTAGTAGAATGGTACAATGTTGGAATATTAATCAATTAGGTTCTTGTAAGAGAAAGGATACTTTGGCCAAGACAGTTTGTCAATATCAGGATGGTATTTATTGTCTCAAGGGAGAAACTGACGAACTGTATGATCGTGGCAAATTAGCATGGAGTGCAATAGATTTGGTATTAAATCGTAATATTTATTCCTATTCATTTAATGGCTTTACTATGAATTATGGTAATTTTCCAAACCCCATCCTTAATCCAAACCCAAAAGAAAACTTGGTCTGCTCTGACGCCATGGCTTCGGGAATATGTCAAATTCAGGGCGATTTTGGGTATAAAACTTTTAACTATCAAGTGGAAGTATGCAATGGTTTGATAGACATCATAAATTCTCCTCCAAAAATAGCAAAAGCTATTACTACCATTACTGAGCAAGTTACGACCACCTTACCTCCGGAAACTATTACTACTACCTCCACTAAACTCACTACGTCCATTTTAACTCCAGAAACTAAAACTACTACAGTAACAGCAGCAGCGCCTATTTCTCTCGGCAGTAGTGGTTTATCGAATTATTCAGAGATATCTTTTCTACCGCTTGTAATATTACTAGTTACTATTTTAGTAAATACGATCGTGATGAAATTAAGAATTTAACAGTTTTTTTTTTATATGATCTCATATATACGGTATTTACATATATTGAGGTAAAAGAAAAACGCAAAATAAGGGAGCCGACGGCCACGTGTAGTTGGGATAGGGATCTGAAGAAAAATGTAATTGGCTAGTGAACGATTTAGAGATAATTTTAAGATTCCAAAAGTAATTACAATGACTATTTTTAATAAATTTACGTATAAAAATACTTACTTATGTACTGTTGATCAAAAAGAATATTCCTTTTTATTATTTCGAGAAAAGTATTAATGTTATATGGTGTGCTCAGTCTAAAGCCAACCAATGCTTTTATTTAGTGGCAGACTTTATAATCATATCACGTGAAATGAATTTTATTGGTTAACGCATATTTATAAATATGCTTTTGATGAAATACAGATGGTGTGATTTATCTAAAGCTTTCTCCAAATCATAATCATCTCAAATATCATCGTCCTAAAAATTATCGAATATTTTATCACAAATTTTCTTCAATAATTTGTATTTTTTTTTTCCTTAATTGCTTGCTTTTCGTGACATTTTGCATGCAGTTATACAATTTTTTTTTTTTACTTTTACTACTGATCGGTGTAATGAAGGATTGCTTTTTTTTAAGATTTATTGTAATTTAAGAAATTTTGGTAATTTTGTAATTTTGGCCACTTTATGATGGCCAAATTTGACATATAATTAATAAAAATATCTGATTTTGATTTTATATATTTAATGTTAATGATTACTTAACCAGAAAAGCTCTGTCATATGAAAGATAATGTCCTGATCTATCATTTAAAAAAAAGTTTATTTAAAATAATTGATTTTTTAATTACTTCTATTCTTTTTGAGTCATGTGATAAAATGCGATTGGTGCGCACCATACATACTTAATTAATTCAACGCGTAAGGCTATTCCAAAAATAAATAAATAAATAAATAATAAGTCGCAAATTAAAGCTTCTTAGCTTGTCAAAATAAATTTGTGACGGTCAAAATTTTGCTAATATAGTCTAATCCGGTCAATTCTTTTAAAATTAAAATTAAAATCTCGCTTGATTCTGATTTTATTATTAATTTTGATTTTTGACAATGAAAAAACAGATAATTAAAATAATAATCGAAATTAATTAATTATTACTAATTATCATATTATTATCATATTATAAATCTAAGATTGTTTCATAGAAGGAAATATTTTTTTAAAATCATATAAAGGTATAAAGCAATATAATGATTAATTTTTATTAACCTATTTTTAATACTTGCGGTTTATAAGAGTTTTTTTGCCATAAAAATTACTGTGCCACGTTTATTTTTTTTTAGCTTTGTGGTACAATTACAACAGCTTATTTAAAGCAAACGCGTTCTTAAAGGTTAAATAAAGTCATTCTGCAGGTATGAGACTATTTAAATATTAATTTTCAAGAAGTTAGTTTTGATATTTATGAATTTATACTTATTTCTTTATTACTGTATATTCTATGCAGATACTTTATTTATTCAAAAATTTAGTTTTATTTAACCAAAGTGTTTAAGTTATATGATAAAGTTGTTTAATGGACATAAAAGTATTCATTTATTGATTTTTATTGTACTTGGGTTATAATAAAGTTAAACGACACTGTACATATGAGTTTTATGAATATTTTGTTTATTTACTAGTAAAATTTAATAAATTATAATTGAAAATTGAAAATACTGAAATATAATATATCAAGAATTAAAAAATTTCTTTTTTGTATGTACAGTAAAATTAAATATTGTTTTTTTTTCACGAAACAAAATATTTTCTAAGACAAAGTTACACAAGATTTGTGGCTACGATTTTTAAGCCAATCATATTTAAGAAAAAGGGAGGAATCGCCCGGAGTACATGTTTTTACTTTTACATATTAAAATATGCTTTTATATTAAATTTTATTTTATTAGTTATATACATTGTTTCATAATCATAAAAAACGATTTAATTAGTATGCATAAAAAAAAATCCGGTATTAAAACTTAAGTTTTAGAACACGTGACACAATTACATGTCTCTAGGCCACGTTATATACATCTGACCAGAATTATGGTCAAATTAGTTATACCCATTTAAAAGTCTTAACGGTTCTAATCTCTAAATGTGAAATAGGTGAACTCATGGTTTTGCTTAGTTATATATAGATCTTTTTTATTAAATAAAAAGAAAACATAATTCACCTAAGAGATTACGTAGAAATTAATTTAAAAAAAAAAATTCAAGATTAACAAGAATTTTCTCAAGTCTTAATAATAAACTATTATATAAAAAGTCAAAATATGACTTTGTGTTAAGAAATTTTGAATCTTTTATGTAACCGGTTTCTTTTATTTGATGAAAATGTTCCTTCCGTCATCGAGAATGAGGTTTGATGTTTTTTTTAGTTAAGAATTATTGTTATTTTTTTTTTTTTTTGCTAACATTTTATTCACGATTTAATTCATACTTTGGAAAAATAATGATACAAATTTTGTGGCTCGAAATATTTATTAGTTTACCTCTAAATGGTAACCATATTTTCAGAATTCCATCATATTGAGGTCGTACAAACTACAACACAATCGAATTGCAAGAGACGATTTTTTTTTTTGAGAATAGTTGTTTAGTTAATAAATACTACGTATTTAAATATTTATATCTTTGAACTTCGGTAAGGTCAATAAAAAAAATTTTTTGTCGAAATAAACTTAATTTTCAGTCTATTTTATATTAATTAAATGAAAGTTCAAGATCTTTTAGTTTCCCAGACACGTATCTAAAACGAAATTTATTTTTGGTCTAACGGCTTGATAATAATTTATTTCATGGTTCGAGAATTAGGTAAAGAATAACGTTTAAATTCTAAAAATGTAAAAATGAATTAAAGGCGATTAATTATTGAAGATCGAATGAAATAATATCAAAGATGGAGCCTGTATTAGTGCCTCGACCCGTATCCGGATCAATCCGGATTGATCCGGATTTTTTTTTTTTTCGGATATCCGGATTTTCACGGTTTTCATCCGGATTATAAACCGGATGAAAAATATCCGGTTTGACCCGGAATCCGGATGAAATTTTTATTATTTTTTTTTTTTATTAATAATAATTTTGCTGATCCATAAAGATCTATATCTAAATGATATTATGGCTAATTATTTTTGCGCCTAATACCAATTTTTTTATTAAAATTTATTAAATTTATATTTGTTATATTAAACTTTTTAATACAGTAAGTTTAAGAAGATTTTTCAATTATAATTTATTTATTGAAGTTTGTATCAGATTTGTTTATTTAAATTTATACATTAACAAATAACAAATAATTTTAGATTTCACATTCAAACGTTCAAAAGAAAAAAAACTTTATATTATTTTTGTTACAACAAAATAATAATTATTGTTTTAAAATGAAAAATTGTTCAATATTATAAATTTATATAATTATAACAACTTTTTTTAAAAATTAAAACTAGTGTTATATAATTTGATTCAAATGATTCTTTAATTTTTGAAAGAAGAAACAAATCCTTAAAAAATTGCCTTACTAACCCAACACATCTATTTATAGTAATCTTTAGCTGTATATAAAAATATCTTGTTTAAAATTTCATAATTAGTTAATTTACAAAGAAATGTTAAACAATAGTCTGAGACAATGCTGAAATAATATGAAATTGTTTTAAAGAAAAGTATTTAATGAAATTGGAATTATGTAAATTTCGTGGTCTTGGATAATTTTGGCCAAATTTGTAATTCTGGCCGAAATTAACATCACGTGACACCGGAAAAATAGTTTAGCCACCGGGCAAAAAATTTTTTATCGGCTGGCATGAAAATTTAATGTTACACAATTTGTAATTCTGGCCGGCGTTATGAATTCTGGCCAGAATTATTGCCGATCATTTGTAAATCCAATCCGGTTTCCGGTTTCTATCCGGATTATCTGATCCGGATTCAAAATCCGGGTCAATCCGGATATAATCCGGATTTTTTTTTTGTGTAATCCGGATGACGGTTTTCATCCGGGTCGAAGCACTAGCCTGTATGAATAACATCAACATACTTTAATTGTAACGTAGGTATATGTATGTGCGGGAATCGGTTAAATTACAGTATTCCAAAAATAATGGGCAACAAAAAATAATAATTAATATTAAATAGACAAAATTACAGTCTAATATCGCTCGATATCGATAAATTTTTAATAAAAAGCCATTGGAAAAAAGATATTTGTGTTAGTATATCGAATTTTCATTAAACTTTTACCGACCGTAATAGTCGTAATTAATTACTCCAATCGCTTTTTTTTAATAAAGATAAATTCTTTAGTCTATTTATTGTAAATACAGTTTTTATAAATATAAATGTAAAAATAAAAACTAATAATAATTAAATGTGAAAGTAATTAATCCAAAACATCATCAGTAACTAAATGTCAAAGCCGATTTCTTTGGTAGTATAATCTATACATATTTTAAATGAAAATTAGCCAATTTAATTACTAGTAATTGATCGTAATACTATTACTTACAACTGTCGTTAAATTTATTAAATTTGCTAATATTAATATTATCAATGTCAAATTCAAGTTCTTTTGACAAATAATCTAAAGGAGATAAAATTTGGTCAAATTATAATATTAAAACAAATAAAACCGCGCAAAATAAATTTACCATCATCGTTTTTGTTTAATTTAATTTTTTTAATGGTTTTATCTAAAATAATTTTTAATAATAAAAAAAAAATAATAATTATAAAAAATATGATCAATTAACTTATTAATAGTTTAATGTTTTTTTTACCATTATTTCCAGTATCTTCAATCAAATCATCATCACGTTTTCTTTTATCCTCTTAAAAGAGATTTGTAAGATTATTAGTATTTAGATAATGACAATAAGAAATCAAAACTAATCATTAAGTTTAAATAAAAGATACCATTAAAAGGTTTATATCCTAAAATAAAATAAACATATTAGTACTTTTTTTTTTAAAAAAAAAGAAAGAATAATCCAATTAGTAAATAATTCTTACTTTGAATTTTTAAACTTCTAGTTGATTCTGCAGATTTTATCATTGCACTTAATGGCCTGCTTTTATAGATGGCATTTGGATTATTTGTTATAGGTCCAATATCTGGTGACTTTATAATTTCAATTCTGTTTATAGACCAATGTAATTTACCACCTTCGTCAAAAATCTTAGAGAGATCATTGGCTGTTGGTCTTTTATTTGGATCAGAGTGCCAACATTCTTTCATCAATTCAACATAACCTTCAGGTGCATTTGTAACAATTGGAGGACGAACTCCATCACATATTTCGATAATAAGTTCTGTGTCATGATTTTTATCCCAAAAAGGTCTTCTACCTGTCATTAATTCCCACATAATCATACCAAAACTATATATATCTGAAGCTTTAGTATATTTTTGTCCTTGAAGAACCTCTGGAGCAACATAAGGAATAATTCCATATATCTCATTTTCATCATCTAATGATTCAATTGCTGATTTACTTAACCCTAAATCACCTGTTATTGCTGAAATAGGATTTACAACAAAAATATTTCCACTATGATAATCTTTGTGGATTATATTTGCATTATGAATGTTCTTAAGTCCCGATGCAATATTTTGCAAAATATCTAGCTTATCATACCAAGGATAATTAAAAAAATTATCAGCTATATAATGTGCTAAATCTCCCTTACCATAATAGTCTGTAATTATCATAAAATTTTTGGTAATAGGATTTTGGGTAATTCCATAACATATATTGATAAAGTTATAGTCACTAAGGTTCACATAATATTCTTCATTAAATTTGCGATCCTTTTTAGCATCTTTTTCAACAGGTTTCCATTTTGAAACGAAATCGTAATATACCTTGAGCTAAAAAAAAAAAATAAATTCAATTATTTATTGTCTTGCATCAAAAATTAGTAATATGAAATACTGTACCTCATTTAGTTCCCTAGAATTTATGCTCTCAGAATTATTAAGTTCCTTAAGTGCAACTTCCATTTCACCATAACAATCATACTTTTGATTTTCTTCATTCCAATTCTTTATTGGACCATCAATCCAAGTAGCCTTATAAATTTGGCTAAATCCTCCTTCGGCAATAAATTCTATAGCTTCAAATTTTTCATAAGGAACAAATTCCATTCCTCCTTCTTTTTTACAGTAATTAGTTAACGTGAACTTTATAAAATCATCAATAACTTTATTTCCACTTAACGGAATCTTTTTTGCTTTATAACATTGATAACAAATCTGATCGGTTTCATTAAAAACTTTTCTTCTTCGTTTGCATCCATTACATTTCTTAAATATTGGTTCAAGTGTAGTTTGTGTTGGATGATTTAAATGTACATCACTCGATATTAAAAAGTCGATTTTTAATTTATAATTAGTTTGTTGGTCCATAATTTTTCCGTATTAAAATTAATTTAGAGAATCCAAAATAAAAATTCTATGTTTATATATACTTTTTTTTCATATAATAATAATAAACTTTAAAGAATTCTTTATTCGAATATAAAAAATTCCGATTAAAATGAATATATCTTTTTTAGAAAAAATCAAACTTGATATATTTAACATTAACTTTTTCTAGTATGTTTTGAATATCGTGTTTCAGGAACTCCGAAATCGTATTCCATCGAATTATTCGATGCATACTGAAATTACGTAAACTTGCATTTTACATGCAGCGATAAACAATGTCACGTGTCATCGTGACATGACGAAATTTTGGTTGACAAATAAAATTAGTCAAAAAAAATTAACGTGATATAAATTTTATAAATTATCAAAGATCATCCCTGCGGAAATATCTGTTCACTCGACTATGAAAAAGACGGGATAGACACATTCCAAGCCAGAAATAAATCTAAAAATGATAGTAAAATATCTCTCGTCCACCAATTTGACAATCGACACACGATTATACAGTATATAGATTATTCATGAAGAAAAAAAAAACAGTACTGAGGGTTCTTATATGGAAGTTTCGCCAGCTTGAACTTGAATTATTGAAGTCAAATGACAAAAACTAAGGAATCAAAAATTGGAAAATTCTGTAAGAGGTATAATTGCACCCAAATTCAATTAGATTTTGATAGGGGTAGGGGTTTAATCCATGTGATTATGATTTTGTTGAAATTCTGGCCAAAAAATTTCCGGCTAAAATTATGGTTTTAGAAATTAGGCCGAAATTACGTTAATGCGAAAAAATCGTGAAACCACGTGGGTCATCACGAGTTCATGACAACCCATCCTACATACTATGATTATGTACATGATATATTTATTTATTAAATACTTTGTTAAAAAGACACATAAAGTATTGAGCAGCCTACAGACTCTAGACTCATCCGAGACAGATAACGCCTATATTGCCTATGTTAACCATAAAGTTTCAAATGTCTGTATCCCTAAAAAACTTTGATTGTGTCGGTCATTATACGCCTAATAAATTTATTTTATAAGACGTGCGAAAAATTAGTGAAACGTTTTTATTTTTTTTACATACTGTGTATTACGAAAAAAGATCCGTATTAAAAAAAAAAGAGAAATATTCATACTTTTTTTTTTTAAAAAAAAAAAAAGGTTTTAATAATGAAAAAAAAAAGTTCTTTTCGTAAAAATATCTTTTACAATTCAATACTGTATTTTTTGTCCAACATTTGACGCAGTATTATTTTGTTACACTTATGTCGTGCATGCGTAAATCGGAAAACGAAAATTTTTTTTAAGGTAACATTCAGCTTTTTCTGCTGCTGTTAAGTTGCACATTTTTGTTAACCACTTAATAAAGTTTTCTAAATTTATCTATTGAACTATGTATATCCCATTGAAGTATAAGAATTGTAGAGAATGTAAACAAGAAAATACTGGAATGCTATACTGTAAAGCATGTAATGTAAAGCATTTTCAACAAAATTTTAAAAATTGGACAAGTGGTAATAACGATATTGACAAATTTATTCAAGATAATCAACTATCAGCGAATTTTTATGGTCAAGTATTAGAATGGATACCTTACAATAAATTATATGATATTGAATATATTGCAAAAGGTGGATTTGGAAAAGTGTATAGAGCAAAATGGATTGATGGATTTATTGGTTATTGGGATAATATAAATGAAAATTGGGAACGACATAATTCCGATGGGTTTGTAGCTCTAAAAAGTTTAAATAATTCAGAAAATGTTACACTAGAATTTATCAATGAGGTATTACCTAATTTCTTAATTTAATGAAATTTTTAAATACGGTTTTTATTAACGAATTTTAAATGTATATTTAGATAACAATACACTGTAAGACTATTGTAGATTGCACAATTTCTGTTGTTGTTAGAGTTATGGGATCACACAAGACCCAGAAACAAAAAATTACATGATGATTTTAGAATATGCAGAGAATGGAAGTTTAAGAACTTATTTGGATAAAAATGGTTTACTAAGCTAGAACATTTAAGGTATATTGCACTAGGACTCGAGAGTATTCATGAAAAAGAACTAATTCATCGAGATTTACATATTGGAAACATACTTAGTTTTTCAGGTTATACTTCTATAGCTGATATGGGATTATGTAAACCTGCAGATTATAATGCATCGGAAAATACAAAAAACAGTATATATGGTGTTTTACCTTATATTGCTCCCGAAGTTTTAAGAGGACAAAATTATACTAAAGCTGCTGATATTTACAGTTTTGGTATAATTATGTATGAAGTAATTTCTGGACTACCTCCATACCATGATGTAAGCCATGACAAAATTTTAGCAATAAAAATTTGTCAAGGACTTAGACCTCAATTGATTGTGAATTTAATCAAAAGATGCTTGGATGCAAATCCATTAAATCGGGTTACGGCAAATGAAGTTCAAGAAGTTTTACAATGATGGCAAGAGGAATCCTATAAATTGGAATATAATGAAACAGAATTAACAGAATTACAAAAACAAATTAGAGAAGTAGAAGAAATTGATAATAGTTTACCAACTAGCAGTGTGCCATCAACTAGATTAGCATACGAAACACATTCCGAAGCTGTTTATACAAGTAGATTACTTAATTTTAATAATCTTCCAGAACCCAAAAATTCAGATGATTATTATGATGAACAAAATGACAATATAATTAGTGAAAAATTTTCAGGTAAATACTGTAATAATTTTGCATGAATTAAATGTAAAAAATGCTAATATATCTTATTTCATTAAATAGAATCTTTACAATTGATATTTCTCAATTGACAATTGAAGATAATGTTGGTATGTATAATATTGTATATATTTCAATTTATTTTTTAAGAAATAATTTTAATGGTTTGATTAACTCATTTTATCTCTTATATTACAGGAAAATCAAAGATTATTTAGTTTGTTGAGTTAGTTAGTTCTCAATCTTTTGGTTTTATTTATTTCTTTTACACAAAATTTATATATTGTTATTGAGATTCAATAAAAATTTGTGTTAAACTGAAATAAGTTTTACAATCACTTTATTCTCACGATTAAATTATTTGAAATTTTGAAAGTGTTTTTTTGCTATAACGAATAATTAATATTCAATAAACCTGGATCAAATTTTTTTATATACTTAGGCATTAATTTATATAAACTAAAAGAGAAAATTGTATGTTTTTTGTATTTAACTTTGTAGAATGACGACATGTCCATCAAAATTTAGGAAAGAATTCATTAAGAAAAACTTGACATCATCTTAACTTCCAATTATTGACTGTCAGTACCATACTATGTCCTAATCTTTAGGTATAATAAATAAGTGATCTCAAATAAATAATCAACATGACGATATTGATAATTTTACAATAAAAGATAAATTCGAATATTCATTTTCAAAAAGGTATAGTATTACAAAATCATGGAAAATTCATGGGATTTCCAGACTTCCTGATAAATATAGTCGCTACAGCCTATCAGGAACAGTTTAGCACGCTGCTAGTATATAGTGAAGATTTGAAATGGCGTATAATGCAAATCTTCAATATGACGAAAGAATTATTAGCAATAACTTTATGGACTTTGGTTTACACTGTAGTATGGCAAAACCAGTTTAAATTTTCTACACGTCTTTGAACACGGTTATAAAAACGAATCTCATAATAGAAGATGAATTCTCTTTAAAAAAATACTTGGTAAACTAAGTGATCATTGATATGCAACTTATCAGCCATGACTTTTATTTATTAATGTACTTTTATTTTTTTACACAATATCTTGGAAATTCAGTCTCATTCTAAAAGTTAAATAAAGTGTAGGTGGTACGAATAAACTTAATAGTTTAAAATATGAAAAATATTTCATTTAGTATAATGATATTTTGAAATTTTTGCGATGTTGATCGTGCTTATGTGATTATCAATCATGTTTTTCAGAAGCCATAGTCGTTGATTGACATGAATTTTAACCAAAAATAATTTCATTTTGCATTCGCGCAAATGAACTTTATATCAACCTTTTGCCTTTTTTTGGTAAAAGAAAAAATGACTACAATTTTTTGTCTTTCAAAAGATTTTTATTCTATATTAAATCATGCCGATGATTACAATATCGTTATTCTTAAGGTTATCGATATTTATGAAAATATCATGACGTATTATTTAGTTGATAAACCTAAATTATATAGTTTGAAACTTGCGAATATAATTTCCAATTGGATTGATAAAAAAAAATCCTTTATTTATTCGTACTGAAAGAAGATTCCTTTATATATAAATTTGTCCTTATTTATCGATTTGACATTAATTCATTTAAGAACAAATGTAAAGATCAAATAGTTAGTCTAGTTTTATTTAATTATTAAGGTCAACAATCTGATAAAATCTTTTCATTCGAAAATAATGAAATAATGAAGATATGAAAAATATGAAAATTAGTCGTGTTGTAAATAATTCTAAAGCTTGCTATATTAGATTATTATATCAGTACCGGTTTAATTTTGGTTGGGATTCATTATATATGGAAGTTCAAAATTTATATATTTATAATCGTTTTAGCGATTATGAAAATAATTTACAATCAAAAAGTAATACTTTTACAATTGAAGAAATTGAAGCTTTTATTGTAACTATAGACCAATAACTTAGATGATTATATGAAATTTTCATTAAATTTATTTCGTACCGTGTAAGTTATTTATATAATTAGTTATAAGAATGATGTAAATACCCTATAAAAAAAGAATGTCCGGAAATTGTAGCTGAAAACGTCCAGAAAATGTTTATTTGTCTGGAATATGTCCGGAATATTGCAATATTCCGGACGTTGGAAAATTTCCATTTTCCGGAAAATGTCCAGAAAATGTCCAGGAGGGTTCAGACCCAGCGTCCAGAAAGTGTCCGGAATATTGCAATTTTCTGGACGTTTTCCGGATACACGGACATTTTCCGGATGTTTTTAGCTACAATTTCCGGACATTTTTTTTTTACAGGGATAAATTTTATAAAACTACAAATATCAGTAAATTCTTATTAAATAATTTGAATTATATAACAGGAAAATCCATAACATTTCTACGCTTAAAATTGGAATATTAATTAATATAAATTTTTTATAACAATGAAATGAAAAATCGTTTATTATTCATTAATTAAATAATTACCTTTTTTTGCGCTGATATCACGTGATAGAATATTACAATTACTTGATGATGATAATATCGTGATACAAATCGCTTAGTAAATGACCATTCTGATATGATATCTGGAGTAAAAATTGTTTTTATCATATTTTACAAAATTATACGCGATTATTATTTTTAAAATCAGTGAATAATAAAAAAAATAATGAAAATGAAAAGTTGAAGTTATTTAATAATATAGTTTGACCGAGTAATATTAACATAAAATAACATATCTATCAACTAACTGTAATTCCTCTCATCCTTTTCTTTCAACTTTTAATAAATTTAAAAAATTATTTAAAGACAAAAAAGTCTCGCAAAAAAACGGCAACGTAAATTTCAAATATCTAATCCCAATAATTATATTTGAAAGTAATAAACTCTTTAAACACCAATTTCTCAATTCTTTTTTAATATTGGTCCAAATTACTCCCGTCAATAATATCAATAAAGAATGAATCCAAATTTTGTGTTTCAAAATATTTAGTAGTTTACCTCTAAATGGTAACTTCATATTTTCAGAATTTCACTATAACCAAATTAAAAATCATTACCATATTGAAAGTCGTACAAACTACAACATTAAATCGAATTCCAAAGAGAATAGTTGTTTAGTACTTTAGTTAATAAATGATTACGTATTTAAATATTTGTATCTTTGAACTTCGGAAAGGTCAATAAAAAAATATTTTTTTATCGAAATAAACTTAATTTTCTATTTTATATTAATTAAATGAAAGTTCAAGATCTTTTTAATTTTCCAGACACGTATCTAAAAAGAAATTTATTTTTTTGATTTAACGGCTTGATAATAATCTATTTCATGGTTTGAGAATTTGGTAAAGAATAACGTTTAAATTCCAAAAATGTAAAAATGAATTTAAGGCAATCAATTATTGAAGATCGAATGAAATAATATCAAAGATAGAGCCTGTATGAATAACATCACACATACTTTAATTGTGAAATTTTGGCGAAGGTATATCTGTCCCCTTCCCTTTTCGTTCTCCCATTTCCTTTCATCCCTATAAAAAGTTTTATCCGTTATTTCTGTCGTAAAATGAAATGCCGATTCTTGACGTTTTGCTAAACATCTCGGCAACCAGTGATCGTAGAAGGATGATCCAATGCTCATTAGATTCGTCAATGAGCTACTCTGTACGTTCACTGCATGTTTAAACTGATTAAACGGACTAATCCTAAATTCGTCCGGATGATCCATTATCCGTTTAATCCGGATGGATTGATGAATGATCCGAATTTTCGGATTTCAGATCGCATCTCTAGATAAAGGTCTTGAGGTATATCAAACATTGTGTCATGGTATGAAGAAGGTTTTGGATACAATCGTTGGTTTATAAAGTATAGCGTGTTCGGAAACTGGTCTAGCTGGCTTATGACCGGATAAGTAATTATTCATTTCGGTTCTTTCGTCAGGAATAGTTCTTTCGGCCAGGAATTACTGCTAATGTCAGGATAATGTATAGCTTAAAGGCGTACGAGAAGTAGATCACAATAAACTTTTCTGAATTGCATATTCCAATTTTTCAAGTCCAAATATTTCACTTCGATAATTTGAGTAGGGAAATTAAATTTATATTTAGCAATTACAAGCAGATATTATATTATTCTTGTTATAGATATAGTATTATTACAATGTAAAAAATAGCAGATATTATTTATAATATTTTTGTTTAGATAAAGAATTTAGATAAATCTTCTAATCTTTAAACAATATCTTTTCTAGCTCATATTACAAAGTCATCTTTGATTCCGTTATCTTTTCTTCTTCTTCTTTGAGCGATTGTTTTTTGTGCCTTTTGTTTTTCTTGGTTTTAAAGAATCTAAAAAGAAGAAAGTTAATAAAAAAATCCCACATCTTTACTCCCATTATAATAATGCTTGTGGTGCTTCTGGACATACCTATAGATTCTTCATACACGATACCATCTTCTACAGTCCATACTACAAGATCTTCATGTGACTTCACATCTTCTAATGAATCCCCTACTGGCCATAATACCTGTTCCATATTCTCCCATTGAAAAACTCGTCCGTAGCAATCTAAAAAGAGCAACCCGTATAACATCTCTCCAATTACAATAATATGGTTAAATCCAAATTCTGCAACGCATTCATAGTAATAGCCAAGCTTTTCTGGATCACTGCTATTGGTGGATAAATCACAACAAATAGATGATGCTATATTGCGACGGACGGATTCATCAACAAACGTATCAACTACCATGGACAAATTACGGCCCAGTCCTTTCGATCCAACTCGTCCGCTAGCTTCTGGCACCATGAACATGGATCTTTCACTAACATCGTTTCCATATATATACATCGCGTGTACAAAATTACACGCTTTCGTTCGGTATTCTTCTCCCGTCCACTCAGCATCTCCCAATACGCACACTCTGCGCAATTCCCCAATTGATGTTTGCAACTCTTTAATTGCTCTTCTGTTAGTACAAAATCCTGGCAACTCTCCAATATCTTCATACTTTCCAATCTCATTTCGAGTGCATATTTGTTCTTCAACCCCGGCCCGCAACGAACTGACACACCAAACATGTATCTGGCAATCTTCTCTCTGACAGTATACGTTAAATTTATTACTACAGGCTGGTGCCTGTTTATCGGTTGCAATGCTGCAATAGTCCTCGCTAGACGGTTCAAATTTTCCTTGAGGTATGCCACTTGCATTTGAAGACTCCATCTTTTGGACGGATGGAAAATGGAAAAGAAATTGGTAATCGGGCTGATCTTTAACCCTTTAAGTACTGATTAATGATTAATATACGTCATAGACTCATAGTGATGTTGATTTATTAGTCATTTTATTAGACTGACATATTAATTCTCGCTTAATAATTAATCTTGTGTGACTAACGTTTAGATTAGCCTGTATAAATTAATTTTGACGCTTGATCGGCAAGTCACGTTGCAATTTCGGTTTATTTTTTTTCAATTTTTTCAGTTCCCCTTTTTTTTTATTTTTTCTTGAACCGATCTTTTACTTTGGGTTCTTTCTTTTTTCAAATTTCGTCATTTCTCTTTCGAAAAATCTTTTTGTTTCCTTTTTTTTTCTTTTTTAAAAATTTTTCATTTTTTTTTCCTCTTTCTTTTTTTTTTGTCTTTTTTCATTTAGATTTGGTTTTTTTTCCAAAACCGAAAAATTATTATTTTTTTCTTTATTAAATAATCCTATTGTTTTTGTCTTTTAAGACATATTATTTTTTTTTTATCTTTTTTTTAGACCAATTTCTTTCTTTATCCTTATTCTTTTCCCCAAATTTTTCGAATTTTTTTTATTTTCTTTTTCCTTTTCCTTTTCGGTTTCTTTTTCAATCCGATTTTTCTCTTTGTCCCTCCCTACAAATTTTTTTTTCAGTTTTTTAAACTTCTTTTCTTTTTTCGGGTTGGCTTTTTTACTATTTTGGTTTGGATCAGGTGATCGGATCGGTGCTGCAACGGTTCAAATTAATAATTTAATTCCGGCCGAAATTATAGAATAATACTGGTCAGAATTATAATTTAATTCTGGTTGAAATTATAAAATCATACGAAAAGCACCCTTTTTTTCGTTTCTTTTTTTCTTATTGATAAATTTGGGATTTTTTTACTAATACTTTTACCCTTAATATTTTTTTTTTTTTTTTTTTTTTTTTTTNCTTTATTAGTACATACATACATTTTGTCAACAAAGTATCTATTTTCTATTAGATTTATATTGAAACCTACACTAAATAAGACCTAGCTAATGTAACTACTAAAATTACTTTATATAAATTTCATTTCCGGTCCTCTTCCGATCTTTTATAAAAAAAAATTTTTTTCAACCCATTTTTTTTTATTTGTTTTTTTTCAACCCATTTTTTTTATTTATTTTTTTTTAAACCAATTTTTTAAACCAATTTTTTTTTTCCTTTTTCGGGTTTGTTTTTTCTAAAACCAAAAATTATTTTTCAAATATTTTTAATTTTCCATTATCTATATTTTTTTTATATAATTTTTTCCATATATTTTTTTTAGAGAATTTGTATTTTATGCACCATGCTTATAATGCACCCATGCGCAGTTTTTTTTTCATGTACATGATAAAAAAAATATTAAAATTATTTTAATGGATACACGATCTGATGTCCCAATTGTCCCATGCATAGTTTTTTGATAACGCAGTAACCTTTTAGACTATTTTGATCAACAATTAAACTATTTTTATTCCCACATACTCTCTTCTTCGCTCTTTCCTTCCCTTTTTTCATCAAATACTATTCTTTACTTTCTTTACCCTTCTAATAACTAATATGAGTGATTCAGATTCTTTTTCAAGCGATGATGAATTTTTTACCAATGATTTTACTACCGGATGACAGATGATAATTTTAACTTTAATGGTAATCAATATGTTTCTCTTAAAAAACAGCAATTATATTATGTTAATATACGGGAATTGACTAATCAAGCTAAGCAGATTGCTTGCAAGAGTTGTAACGAATCTTTTATTATTTTACTTGAAGAGTATATTAACAAAAAAAAATAGGGAAGCATTAAATTTACAATCTGGATCAAACCATAATATAGATGAGTAAGAAGTAGATCAAGAAAATGTTATTCCAATTGGAAATCCTATAATTCGACGTCCTAAAGGAAGACCACCTGGAACTGCGAGGTTTAAGGGACCTTTACAAACTTTCAACTCAACCCAATGAAGCAATGTGCTTATGCAGTAAGAATGGTCACAATCACGCTACTTGTCCAATGAATCAAAATCGAAAAAAAGAAGTAATGAAGTTTTGAACTAGATGTATGACATTGAATTTAATAGGGTAAGTGTTTAGTTATAGAAGCATTAGATTTGGAGTTGCGTTAGGGTTAGGATTAGGGTTAGGATTAGGTTGGTTTATTTAGAGGAATGAAACAATGCTTTTTAACTCAATTATTTTATCAATTTTGTAGGTGCGTTTAAAGTCCAAATTTGCACAAAGATAATCTTTATTTATGATATGTATGTGCGGGAATCGGTTAAATTACAGTATTTCAAAAATAATGGGCAATAAAAAATAATAATTAATATTAAATAGACAAAATCACAGTCTAATCTCGATATCAATAAATTTTTAATAAAAAGCCATTGGAAATTTCCAAAAAAGATATTTGTGTTAGTATATTAAATTTCCATTAAACTTTTACTGTAATAGTCGTGATTAATTACTCTAATCATTTTTTTTTAATAAAGATAAATTCTTTAGTTTTTATTATTGTAAATACAGTTTTATATATATAAATGTAAAAATAAAAACTAATAATAATTAAATGTGAAAGTAATTAATCCAAAACATCATCAATAACTAAATGTCAAAACCGATTTCTTTGGTAGAATAATCTACACATATTTTAAATGAAAATTAGCAATTTAATTACTAGTAATTGTTACGGATCGTAATACTATTACTTACCACTGTTGTTAAATTTGTTAAATTTGCTAATATTAATATTATTATTATCAATGTCAAATTCAAGTTCTTTTGACAAATAATCTAAAGGAGATAAAATTTGGTTAAATTACGATATTAAAACAAATAAAACCGCGCAAAAATAAATTTACCATCGTTTTTGTTTAATTTAATTTTTTTAATGATTTTATCTAAAATAATTTTTTTAATAATAAAAAAAAAATAATTATAAAAAATATGATCAATTAACTTATTAGTAGTTTAATGATTTTTTTTTTACCACTATTTCCAGTGTCTTCAATCGAATTATCATTAATCATTCTTTTACCCTCTTAAAAGTGTTTTGTAAGATTATTAGTATTTAATATTAACAATAAAACCCGATTATTAAATTTAAATAAAAGATACCATTAAAAGATTTATATCCTAAAAATAAAATAAACATGTTACTTTACATCTTTTTTTAAATAATGCAATTAGTAAAATAATTCTTACTTTGAATCTTTAAACTTCTGGTTGATTCTGCAGATTTTACCATTGCACTTAATGGCCTGCTTTTATAGACGGCATTTGGATTATTTACTATAGGTCCAATATCTGGTGACTTTATAATTTTAGTTGGGTAGTTACTATATTCTTTATAATAATCTAATTTACCATTATAGCTAAAAATATTAGAGAGATCATTAGCTGTTGGTCTTTTATTTGAATCAGAGTGCCAACATTCTTTAATCAATTCAACATAACCTTCAGGTGCATTTGTAACAATTGGAGGACGAACTCCATCACATATTTCGATAATAAGTTCTGCGTCATGATTTTTATCCCAAAAAGGTCTTCTACCTGTCATTAATTCCCACATAATCATACCAAAACTATATATATCTGAAGCTTTAGTATATTTTTGTCCTTGAAGAACCTCTGGAGCAACATAAGGAATAATTCCATATATCTCATTTTCATCATCCAATGATTCAATTGCTGATTTACTTAATCCTAAATCACCTGTTGTTGCTGAATAAGAAGCTTCAACAAAAATATTTCCACTATGATAATCTTTGTGGATTATATTTGCATCATGAATATTCTCAAGTCCCGATGCAATATTTCGCAAAATACATAGCTTGTCTTCCCAAGAATAATTAAAAAAGTTATCAGCTATATAATGTGCTAGATCTCCCTTATTATAATATCTTGTAATTATCATAAAATTTTTGGTAATAGGATTTTGGGTAATTCCATAGCATATGTTGATATCATTATAGTCACTAATGTTCACATAATAATCTTTTTTTTTATGCGATCCACTTTATTAACTTCATGAAGTTTCCATTTTGAAACGAAATCGTAATATACCTTGAGCTAAAAAAAAATAAATTCAATTATTTATTGACTTGTATAAAAAATTAATAATTTAAATTTATATGAAATACTGTACCTCATTTAGCTCCCTAGAATTTATGTTCTCGGAATTATTAAGTTCCTTAAGTGCAACTTTCATTTTACCATAATAATCATACTTTTGATTTTTTTTATCCCAATTAATTATTGGACCATCAATCCAAGTAGCCTTATAAATTCTGCTAAATCCTCCTTCGGCAATAAATTCTATATCCTTAAATTTTTCATAAGGAACAAATTCCATTCCCCCCTCTTTTTTACAGTAATTAGTTAACGTGAACTTTATAAAATCATCAATAACTTTATTTCCACTTAACGGAATTTTTTTTGCTTTATAACATTGGTAACAAATCTGATCGGTTTCATTGAAAACTTTTCTTCTTCGTTTACATTCATTACATTTCTTAAATATTGATTTAGGTGTTGTTTGTGTCGGATGATTTAAAGGTACATCACTCGATATTAAAAAGTCGGTTTTTAATTTATAGTTAGATTGTTGGTCCATAATTTTTCCGTTTTAAAATTAATTTAGAGAAACCAAAATAAAAATCCTGTGTTTATATATACTTTTTTTCCATATAATAAAATAAACTTTAAAGAATTCTTTATTCGAATATAAAAAATTCCGATTAAATGAATATATCTTTTTTAGAAAAAATCAAACTTAATATATTTAACATTCAACTTTTTCTGGTATGTTTTGAATATCGTGTTTCAGGAACTCCGAAATCGTATTCCATCGAATCATTCGATGCATACTGAAACTTTGAAAACGTATTCCATCGAACATTCGATGCATACTGAAATTACGTAATTTACACTTTATGCAGCGATAAATAATGTCACGTGACATCAGTGACATGATGAAATTTTGGCGAGAAAATTAACAAGGTGATATAAATTTTATAATCAAATGCGGAAATAATCTGTTCGCTCGACTATGAAATGTTATTTGATAAGTTAGCATGTGTATTTTTTAATTACACAATTATTGACGTAGTATCCTATTTTGAGATTAGAATTATATATATTTTGGCTATTAAGTATTCATTATTATAATTTTATTAATTACATACAGTAATTTTATAACTGATTACCCGACAGATTTCCATTTTGGCCAGAATTAGCACATAATATACTTTAATGCCGGCCAGAATTAAGGTTTTAAAAGCAATTAAAGATCGAACTCACGAATCAAAAGGATAATCACGCCACTGAATTTTATTGAAAAAAAAAAAAATTATTACTGAATTATTAAAAAAATATGATTATTATATATACAACTTTGGAGAACAATTTTTTTGATTTTTTATTGCTCGTAATAAAATTTGATAAATTATAAATTATAAAATAAATACTAAAATTAAGTATTATATTAATAATAATAATAAAGATTAAAAAATTTTTTCAATTATTGGCTAAAACATTTTTAAAAATATATCTCTCAATAATTTCATCATGTTGACGTGTTCTATTACAAATAGAAAATAATAAAGGTTTACTTAATCTTTTTTCACAACCTTCCAAGAATAAATTCAATGCTTCAGTATTACAAGACCAATTTTCGGATAACCACATCATTTTCAAATTTTTTGGTATATTCTTACTAATTGCTTTCATTACGTTACTTATGTCATAACATAGTGAACCATTAACATTATTAAATATATAAAAATATTCCAACTTTGAACATTTTTGAAAGAATAAAGGTAAAAAATAATTAATAACTACATTTGCATAAGACCCAAGGTATTCTGTAAGATTAGGACAATACATGATTATTGTGGAGATTAATAATGAGAAATTATTTGTATCTTGTGGCGTTATCCAATATAAATATATACTTGTTAAACTTCCACCCGTATTCTTAATCAAGGTTGATATCTGATAAAGATAAGGAAAATCTAATTGAAGTTGAAGTTCACGTAATTTTCGAAACTTAGAATTAACAAAATTTTCCATAAGATCTTTGCCAAAAGGTTCCACATGAGTTATTGCTAGTTTTTCTAAATTATTACAGTTTGAAAAAATATCCATTGAAAACATTCTATGAAGAGATAATGATGTAAGAAAATTAATTTTATGCTTTAAAGAATTTTCAATAATCGGAAATTGAAATTTTGTAGTAGTAGTTTCTATTGATAAGCTAAGTAACGGTTTTCGTTGAACTTGAATTAATTCTGCCAATCCTTTGTTATCAATACAAACACAATTAATTCGTAAATGTTGAATATTATAACTAATTTTAGATGCTTGAAAGAAAATTTCCGGTTCTATACATCCATCAAATGAAAATTCGTTAAGCCATGACAAAGATTTTTCCGCCCCAGGAAAAAAATGAAGTCTTAAAAATGAATCCGAGAGACTCTTTACTTGATCCGATCTTCTCAAATTAAGTTGTTTTAAATTATCACAACTTTCTATAAAATTATTATATAATTGTTCAAGCAATTGATAAGTTTGAAATATTGGAATAAAACATTGTTCCTCTGATGGTGTTGTATTACAACTTCCGATCCACATTTCCGTTGCATCAAACAATATTACATTATCCAAATGTCGTAAATACGATGCATAATTGAAGGTAGCTCTTCTTTTTAGTGTCGGCGTCATTTTTACTCCACATTTAGAAAGAATTATTTTTGCTTCATCACTTAGGCACATTATGTAAGTTGTGATGAGCATACAAATCTTTTCGTGAGCCAACTCGTGTTGTTGAAGATTCATTAATGGTTCTTCCCAAAGCATGGGAATTGCTACTGCGCACCATTGTCGATTCACCAATGAACATGAACGTAACGTATAGTAATCAAAATTTTGTTGAATTATAAATTCAAAGATCTCGATGAGGCACTCTACAGGAAGCTTTATCGACATTTTTGGTTAATCTTATATACAATAGTTTTATGATCGTCTAATATATAAAATGTAAAATTAATTACTATAAGTTTTTTTTTTAAAAATAATAATAGTAATAATATAATAATAATAATAGGTCAAGATAAAAAATATTTTTATTAAAAAAAAAAAAAAAAATTATTTTCTGTTTATTTTTTTCTAATATTATAAATAAAATAAATAAAATGCTTACTTATGAAATTTTTATAACTTATTATCGGTACTTTGCATAAAAAAAAAAAATTTTTTTTGATCGGAATGTAAAATTTCATTAATATATCATTTTATATACTTTAGTTAGGTTCAATAATGTCGACGCAATCGAACCAAATCAAGAAATCGCCGAAATATTTTTAGAAATTCAGCCTCAACCTCTATTTTTAAACTTGTCGATCAATTGTGTTCGAGAACAGTCTTGATTATTCCTTTGATTGGTTTATAAAAATAGAAGCGATGACGCCGCTCTTTAAATAATTTCACACTAGTCCAAAATTAGTAATTATGGAATGACAATTTATGCAATGCGTGGTGATTATAAAAAGCACAGGAATGGTTGTTGCGTTTCTGCGTTTCTGTGCTTGGAAAAAAAAAAAAAAATTTTTTTTGAAAAAACAAACAAGTCATGAAGATTTATCACAAAATGCGCAATGTAATCATGTAATCATGGAGAAATTAGTATAGATGAATGTTTCAGCAATTATATTCTATAAATCATCACTGAAAAAGAAAAAGAAACTTTGACGGTAGATTATTTGTAAGGAAAAGAAAAAACATACTTGAAAAATAGCATAAATTTATTATTGCTAAAATATCTATTTTTTTGTTATTTTATGTCGAAAGTTATTCAACATCAAACTGGATTCGTCTTTTAGATCTTTCTTTTTTACAATATTTGCTAGAAAAGTTATTAAGTTCAATAATAAAAATGTTGATTGGGAGGAAAAAATGCCATGGTGTTCATTGAAGTATTCTTGGAGATGTATAAATCTGTATTTTTTGAGACGTCTTGATTTATAATTAATTAAAAGTCTATAAGAAAGAAATTCTGGTATTTTAACCTTTATTAAATTTAAGTCACGTGAACATATTTTATTACTGCGAACCGAATCCCACAATCATACTAAACCATATATAACTATTAAATTAGTAAATATTTTCCTTTACCGACAATTGCACATACAGTTCATAAATTATTTATATTTTCTCATGTATTTCGTGAGCATTCCCGTGCAAAATAATAATGTAGAACTTTTTTAGAGGATTTTGCCTTTTTTTCAATAAGAAAAGTGGTTCGAATCTGTTCAGAGGGTTCTCACATTTTAATTGGATATATTGCGCCACAACACAAAATTTTTTAATCAAATTGTTAAGAATTGAATAATAATGAAATTTAAGGATTAAGTGCAAATACAAAATAATTATTAACCAGAATTTCACGCCCATCAAAACCGTACCGTAGTGTATTTCTCTGGGCAAATGCTGTTGAAAAAAAAAATATTTAATTTTTTTAAGTTCGCTTGTTATAAATGAAAAAGAACTGTAGCAAAAAAAAAAAAACTTACTGGACCAACTTTACCAACTCTAACTTTTCCGTTTTAGCGATATATTATTCTTTATCGTCCTTTCATCTAAAGGAAGAAAGTTAAATCAAAAGGATGAATGCAGAAAACTTACGGCTTCGTGGCCACCTTTCAGAGAAATAAAGGATTGTGGTTTAAAAGCTCCCGAACTTTATGCCCACCTTTCAGAGAAATAAAAGATCGTGGTTTGAAAGCTCCGAACTTTACAATTAACAAATAAATAAATCAACAAATTTTTTTTTTTTTACTAAATAAACAATTTTAAAAATAATTTTTGTAATTTTTATCATTCAACAAAATGAAAATAAGATTTGTCTCCGGTTACCGGTTTAATTCTTCTTTCTTCTCCCGCCCATGACATAGCGATCTTGATCTACATATCCTATGTCCCTTACCAATTGCATGATCTCCTTCCCAAATGAAATTGGAAGAACTTTTCCAATAGCAAGCTTCAACTCAATTTTGCTGACAAATAACAAATTTCAGATTTATAGCGGGATGAAATAATCGAAAGATAAGGGTTGCCTTATGCTCTTGCGCAATTGTCATGAATAGTGCCATGATATGTGAAAATGCGAGTATTTCAATTTATAGACGTGATTTCACCTATATATATATGTTCAACATTTTGATCAGCCTTAAAATATCGAATGTTTGTTTTAATAAGGTATCTTTTATTTCGAGAAAAATCTTTTAGATTATTCATTATTGAACGAATCACAATTCAAATTTAAAAGTAACTAATCTTTTAATTTAAATTCGGACGAATCCCTAAATTAATGTTATATTTAGTTTTGCCGAAAAATGCGTATATAGTCTTAATTTTTAATTTTCTCGCCCTTTTTCAAAAAAAAAAAAAAAGTGATTCAAATCTGTTCAAATCTGTTCAGAAAGTTTTTATTGCAATTTAATTAATTTCAAGTAATGGATCCATTTGTCTCGAATTATTCTTAATTGCAAGTACAAAATAATTACTAGCCGCATATTCAACTCCATCCAAACCGTAAGCCATTGATTGCCAATCCTTTAAGAAAAAATTTTTTTATTCAGGAAGTTCGTTTGTTATAAATGTAGTAAAAAAAACATGACTTACTGGTCCAACTTTACCAATTCTGATTTTTCCATTATGTTCCATTTTAGCGATATATAATTCTTCATTTTTGTTCTATTTTTAAAGGATTAAAAGAGAAAAATTTTTAAACAAAAACAGACCAAACGAATATGAAATAGAACTTACGGCTTCATGTCCTCCTTTTAGGGGAGTGAATGATTGTGGATTGCAAGTTCCCGAACTTTACAATTAATAAATAAATTAAATAAACATTAACTTAAATCACTTTATTATAACAGTTTTTGAAGATAATTTTACCGTTCAACCCAATGAAAATAAGATTTGTCTCCGGTTAAAACTTCATAATCACGAAGAATTTCTTCTTTACCACCCCATGAAATTACGAGACCTTTCCGATCTTTATCTACATATCCTATATGTATTCCACCTTTAAAATGTCCCCTACCAATTGCATAATCTCCTTCCCAGAATGAAATTGGAGGAACTTTTCCACCAGAAGCTTTAACCCAATTTGCTGCCTAAATGACAAATAAATTTTAGATTTATAACCGAAAGAAAGCACTATATTAAAAATAATGCTTACAGAGTGTTCTTGTGCAAATTCCATGATACGTGAAAAATTAGATAAGAGAAAAGTGTGGAGTACAGTACTTCAATTTATACGTCGTCTGTAAGATCATGTGAATTTTTATAAACATCGTCTAACCTCAAATATTGTGAATATCTTATGTAACCTACTGTTTTGTTAAATAAAAATATTTGTGCATATCTTATTTCTTTGGCAGACTACATTATTTAATTTTAGAAATTCAGACGAATACATTAAATCAATGTAACTTATAAATTGTTTCATTTTCCAAAAAATTACATATACAGTCAAATTATTTTATGCATTTCGTGAGCATTCCATCAATCTTTTTAACTTTTTTTCACAACTTGTTCAGAGAGAATTAATTACTTTTTTTAAAATATGTATCTATTACAACTAACAAAAAAAAAAATTTTATATTACAATAATATAAGGCTTAATTGCAAGTACAAATAATTCATAACGTAATTTTCTTGTCCATCCAAACAATAAGTCATTATGTTCAAATGCTGTTAAAAAAAAAAAAAAAATTTTAAATATTTTTAAGTTCGTTTGTTATAAATGTAGTAAAAAAAACATGACTTACTTGACCAGCTTTACCAATTCTAATTTTTCCATTATGTTCCGCTTTAGCGATATATAATTCTTTATTAGTTTCCTAATAATTAAAAGAGAAAAGTTGAAAATAAAAAATAGATTAAATAAATATAAAAAAAAAATAAAAAGGAAACTTACAGCTTCATGTCCTCCTTTCAAAGGAATAAAGTTTGATTGTGGTCGACAAGTTCCTGAACTTTTACAATTTGATTAAAAAATAAATAAATAACTCCATTAAATTTTTGTTTATTATAAAAAAAAAATAATAATAATTTCTACCATTCAACCCAATGAAAATGAGATTTATCTCCGGTTAAAACTTCATACTCACGAAGAAATTCCTCTTTTCCGCCCCATCCAATAACGAGTCCTTCACGACCTTTATCAACATAACCTATATGTAAACCATCTTTAAAATGTCCTCTACCAATTGCATAATCTCCTTCCAAGAATGAATTTGGTGGAATTTCTCCACCAGAGGCTCCAACCCATTTTGCTGCCTAAATAATAATAAAAAAATTTTAAATTTATAACCGAAAGAAAGCATTGTATTAAAGATAATTGCTTACAAAATGATCTTGTGCGACTGACATGATATGTGAAAAATGTGAAGAAAATCGGGAAATGCGTTAATTTATAGGCGTGATTCTTCCGCAGTATCATGTGAAGTTTTTGCAAAATATTGATGATCATTTAACTAACACAAATAACACAAATATTTGTTTTTCCACAAAATCTCGATACCCTTCCGTATATATATATATAATGATTCTTTTAAAAATCCTTGTAAGAAAAAACAACCATTCTTTTTAATTTTAAATTCGGACGAAATCCAAAAAATTATTCCATTTTTTAACAAAAAAATGCTGTTATAAATTATTTTATTTTTCTCGCTTGTATAATTTCGTGAACATTACAAAAAGATTTGTATTAACATTTAAAAAGAAAAAATAATAATAATAAATTACAATAAAATTATAAAATTTGATTTTTTTTTAAAAAAAAAGATCCAATCATCCAAATAATAAATAATTTAAGTTCTAAATGCAAATACAGAATATTTATGACACGGAATTTCACGTCCATCCGTAACATAATTCATCCCATCGATCAAATGCTATTAAAAAAAAAATAATTTTTTTTTTTTAAAAAAAAAGCTCACTTATGATAAACGAATTGAATTTTCATTAAGAAAAAAAAAAAAGGCTTACTTGACCAGCTTTACCAATCCTATCTTTTCCATTATGATGCGTTCTAGCGATATATAATTCTTTACCGTCCTGTTTTTTTAAAAAAAAGGAAAAAAAGTTGAAAATAAAAGTAGATCAAAAGAGTATGAGATAGACAAGAAGAAAACTTACAGCTTCGTAACCTCCTTTCAGAGGAATAAAGAATTGTGGTCGGCAAGCTCCCGAACTTTAATAGATTAATTAAAAATAAATAAATCAACAAATCTTTTTTCCTTTTAAAACAAACAATATTTTGAAAATAATTTTTACCATTCAACCCAATGAAAATGAGATTTATCTCCGGTTAAAACTTCATACTCACGAAGAAATTCCTCTTTTCCACCCCATCCAATAATGAGACCTCGATTTTGATTTACATATCCTATATGTAAACCACCTTTAAAATAACCTCTACCGATTGCATGATCTCCTTCCCAGAATGAATTTGGTGGAATTTCTCCATCAGAAGCTCTGACCCATTTTGCTGCCTAAATATTAAGGAAACTTTAGATTTATAGTCAAATGAAAGATATTAAATTATCAAAAGATAATATTTACCCAATGTTCTTGTGCGACTGCCATTATGTAGTAAATGAAAAATTATAATGTATTGTGAAAGCGAAGAAAGAGAAAAAGTATTTCAATTTATATACATGGATTGTCTGCAGGATCATGGGAAAATTTTGTCATAAGTAATCTAATTATTGATGATCATTTAACTATTTACAAGTATTTACAAGTATTTATTAAGAATCATCTAACTAAAAATTGACTTTAAAATGACGAAATAAGGCAATATTTCTTTTTTAGTATGATTCATAAATAATATCATATTAATATGAAAGTCGTTTTTTTTTCGAGAAAATCTTGGCAACCAACTTCATTTTTAAAAATTCTTGGCAGACTATTCAAATGAATTATTGCTTCGATTTTTAAAAAAGCAAACCTAATCTCAACAAAATATATATATATGTATATGAAATGATAAAATTCCAAAAACGAGTGTGGCTGAGTTATTCTTGGCAAAACGAATACCTGTTGTGGATCAATAATGCATGAATAAAACATATGTTAATGCTTCTCCTTTCCGTGTACTACCTAATGTTTAACATATGTGGTCTTACATTTATAGTATGTATTTAAATTGATTTATTAGTCTCCTCAATGTTTCCTAAATAATAATCCGCATATTATTACAATAATCAAGTCCACTTTTAAATAAGCGATATCTTTCTTTTACTCCTTTTCTCCATTTCTCGATTTCTGATATAATGTTGATATAAATGGTGCAGATCATGCAGATCAGTGGTATGTTCAAATACCCCAGAAGTTACACAAACTCGCGTTTATATTATTATTTGCGTGATCAATTTTTAATTTTTTATTTTTTTTTATCAGTTATTAATTATTATTATACAATCGAACATAACTTTTTTTTTTCTTGCTATAAAAAATCATCATAAATTTTTTTTTTTTATATTTCTATATGTATGATACAAGTTAAAAATAAATGATACGCGTCATCTAGACCTTTTTTTCTATTGAATAAAATGTAAGTTATAATATTTTTCACACAGTGAAATTTGAATAAATTGATAAAAAGTGTAGAGAATAAAAAAAACTAAATACATATAAAAATCAAGTACTAAATATATTTGAAAATATCATTAAATATTATAAATTAATAAATAAATAAATAAGAGAAAAGATATATTATAATTTTTTTTATTATTTAAAGAAAAGGGGAATCCGAGCTTTACACCTCATTTGTGTCATCTTGATAACCAGAGATATCAAAATCATAATCATCTCCGGAATCATGTTCAGATTCAAGTGTTGATGATTGTTGTATATTATTCTTAAATCAAAAATTAAAATGTGAGCTTTTTTTTCTTAATTCATCTTAAAAAGAATTTAAATATTAATTATTACTTACTTGAACTTTTTTAGCATCATTTTTGTTTACAAGGATTGATTTTTTCGGATTTGAACCTTTAACTGCCTCTTCTTGATTAGGTTCCGTTCGGAAACGCACTGATTTCTTACGTACAACTTTACCATCATTCTCCACATTCTCATTGTTTTTAGTTTCAGAATTGGATTCATTATTTAAATCAATTTTCTTTTCTACTTTTGCATTCAAAATCTTTTCTGCATGTCTTTTAAGTCCATCAAGATCATACCTTGGTTTAGGACTTACTTGAGCCGCGGCCCCTGTCATAATAGGAGCACTTATTTCACTTATTTCGGAACGGAAAGCAGTATCACCATCGACATTTTCGATTTTCATATTTGATTGGCTTGGTTGAATGAACCGAGTTGTAATTGTCTGCGTCATATTCAATTGATTTTCGGATTTACCAGATGGTTCATCTACGCGTTCAATAACCATATTTGATTGCGTAGGTTCAATGTATCTCATGGCAGCTGATTGTGGTAAATCATGATCATGATTAAGATTCGATGGTGGAACTTTTGAAATGTTATTTTCAGGTGCAATTTCAATTTGACTCATCCCATGAGTAGGTTGAACTGAATACATACTACTTGCTTGACTATCTGGTCGATTAGAATTTTCATTTGTTGTAGGTATGTCACTTAATAATTTTGTAAACGAGCTATCACTGATATGCGAAAAATTTTTTGAAAATGTGGAAGGTATAACGCTTGCAATCAAATCATCTAATTCTTTAAGTTCGTTATTAGTAGCTTCTGAAATTATTGAAAAATCTTCATTCATATTGCTCATATTGTTAGGAACTGGAAACGTATCCTGATACGATATTGAAGAACTATTTTGGTCATTTGTAGGAACTGGTTCACTTTTGGAAAATGATGGTGAACGCGAGGAATCTTCAAGAGAATGAGGTGAATGTGGTGGAGTTCTGTATTGCTGAGGTTGATATGGACTTTCTGGAGATAATAATGTTCCTTGAGTTGGATCTATAGAATATTCTTGTTGAAAATGTTGAGAGTTCCTGTAAGATTGATCATTTTGTGGACTTCCGTACGAATTTGGTTGATGTGATTGTTCTCTTTGCTGAGAATTAGGAGTGAAAGGTGGTTGTGGTAAATATGGTGACGGTGGATATGATGGTGTATTAGGAGTGTTAGGAGTATTAGAATTTAACTGTGACTGTGATAAATATGGTGACGGTGGATCATCTTGGTACGTATTTGGAGGATACGATGGTGTATTAGGAGTGTTAGGAGTATTAGGAGAGTAAGGTGATAAATATGGTGACGGATAATCATCTTGTGATGGACCTCGGTACGTATTTGGCGAATATGGTGATGTATTAGGAGTGTTAGGAGTGTTAGGAGTATTAGGAGTGAAATGTGATTGTGGTAAATATGGAGATGAATAGCCATCTTTTGATGATCTTTTATAAGAATCTGATGGATATGATGGATCATTTTGTTGGAAATTAGGAGGAAATTGTGGTTGTAATAAACGAGATGAATCATCATCCAGTGATGGTCCTCTATAAGAATCTGATGAATTTGATAAAACTTCTTGTTTGGAATTAGAAGGTTGTGGTAAATAAGGAGATGAATGCGATATATCCCTAGATGATTGATCTACAGGATAATTATTTTGTAAAGAGTAAAAGTTATTATTAACGGAAGGCGGACCTAAATGTGAGTCGTTTGAATCCGGGGATGAAGTACTGATAAATTGAGAGACATTATGATCTATCATTATCGGAGAGTTTTTTCCTTGTTCATTATGGTCATCTCTAAATTTTTGAGATCTAAAATCACCACTTCGTTCAGTATCACTGGATTTTTTACCATCTCCAACTATCTTCCTTCTAATAAATACTACAATTAGAACTATAACAACAAGAGCTCCACCAGCAACACCGAGCATTTCAGGCCCATTAACACCATCATCATCACCTTCTGCGACAGCGTTTTCTAGAGTTTTATTATTTATTGTATTATTGTCTATAACCGGAGGCAAGGTAGGAAAAGGAGCTAATAATTCTTCATTAGGATTGGTATTTTTAGGAGTAGGAGCTGTGGTTTAACGAGAATTTAATTAGTATAAAATATATGTTTTTTTTCATTATATATTTATTTTATTACGAATTTTTATTATAATCGAACTTTCAAATAACAACAATTTTTTAATAATTAAAATACTTGAATAGATTAAATTAAAAAAGATCATTAATAAAAAGAAATTTTTACAAGTTATACTAACCTTTCTGACGTTTCTGTAACTGAATAACGTTTACAAAAGACATTGCTATAACTTTAAAATAAGAATATAATAAGTACGTACATAAATGTTACATGGTTTAAAAATTATTATTAAGAGATATAAATATTTACCGAAAAATAAAGCATTTAAAGTCCAAAACGAAGAAAATAAAAAAGAAATTTAGGGAAAACGAGATATATGAAAAAGAATAAGGGGAGGGAGGGGAAAAGTAAAAAAGAATTATTGGTATATAATAAAGGAAAGAAGATTGAATAAAAGAACGAAACGAATAATATCTAAAAATCTTTTTCCTCTGCGTATGAAGTAAAACGCAAAGGTTTCGGTTAAGATAAGAAAAATTGTGAGAGGCATTCGAAATAATTTAATTTATTTACAGATGTACAGTAATACAAAAAAATTTATAAGGTGAGTACCAATCAAGAGATTTATTTGATCGTTGTCTTAATATATCATTGTAATTAATTGTAAAGGTCACAAATTTTTTTTATTATTATTATCAGGTATTGCATTGTTTGTTTGAATACAACTAATACAACTGGGGCCTAAAAACCATGAGAAAAAAAAAAAAACCTTTTTTAATACTTGACATTCTAAGTAAAAACAAATATAAAAAACAATAAAAAATAAAAAAAGAAAAATATAATTATTTTTTTTTTGTTGTTGAAAAAAATTATGAATTGTTTACTTTTTGTGGAAATTCAATTTTATTCTTAATTCGTTACTTTAAAATCACAAGGTTGAACTTGTTGATCGTTTTTTCACTAACTAAAAATAAAAAATAATTAAAAAAACTTAACAGTTAACCTGTCAAAAAAAAAAAAATTAAATTAAATTAAATTAAAATTATTAGAAATTTAAACGGTTAATCGTAACAAAATCTCGGATACTTAATATAAAGATTTTATCCGAAATTTTAAGATTTTTTTTTTTTTTTTTTTTTTAATTAAAATAATTTTTAAATCATTTTTAAAAAGGGAAAATTATTAAAAAATCAGAAATTTTCCTTTTTAAAATAATTTTGGATGTAGAATTTCATAATGAATATTTTATTTTGCATAATTCATGTGATTCAGAACCAGTATAATAAGTATAATAAGTATATCATTGAATAATATCACGTTATAATTAATTTGTATTTAAATACCTTTTACTTGATTTGGCCGTTATATTAGTGTGATATGTGGGCCAACATTGCCAACATTATAATATATGAAATATGTTTAATTAGTTTCTATTACGCCCTTTAAACCATTATAAATTTGGTTTAGTTAAATTTAATTTGAAAAAAAAAAATAAAATAAAACTGCGGGATATTAATTAGAAACAACGGGGGATAAATACCGTAATTTTTTTACTTTTTTAAAAAATCATGATCTGATTGTACATTTAAAATATATTTTTAGAAATCCTAGAAAATACGTAATTTTTTTTTTTTTTTAAAAAAAAAGAAATGTATAAAAACTGTATTTAAAATAATATTATATATTATATTTTTTACTTATTTATATAACATAAGTTGAATTTTTTTTTATCTTTTCAAAAATAGAATAAGTACTATCATAAAGAGTATCGATTTACGATTTATATCCCAGTACATTAGATTATAATTTTGTCAAAAAAAAAAAATAAAAATAAAAATAAAAAAATGCCTCCTTGGAATTTCCCCTTGATTTTCTTTTGATCCTCCGCGTAAATTCTTCTTCTATCGAAGAAGAAATGTATATATATATTTTTATCGAAAATGACGAATAAGTGATCAATATTCGTTTTATTAACTCCGATTTAATAGATTTTTTATTACTAATGAAATTAAATAATTAAAATGAAGAATTGTCATGATTCGGATGATTAATACAAACTCGTTCATGAAAATTTTTTCGTTATAAAAATTATTGTTTTTGGAAAAAAAGGAAAAAAGGAAAATCATTGTACATTGAAAAAATTCAAAAAAAGGTGATTATCAAGAAAGTAAACAATTAATTATATAATAATATTTATAATATTTATTTTTATTGTAAAAAGTGGTAATTGGTTGATGTGTTACCTTGTTACCTCATGAAAAAGCCTCATCCAAATTTTATAACTTGTGACGTATGTATGATTAAATTGCTCGATCAAATAAAGTAGAATAAAAAAATATTTATTATCATCATTTTTTTTGGAAGGTGAACAATCAATTAGGTTTACGTTTCCGGTAACAAAACGTAACAAAAAATTTCTTAACGGGTTTATTCGGATATTCCTCAATGATGACTCCGAACTCCGAAATGATCACTAAAAAAGAATTATTTGATTTAGGAACATTTTTTTAATGGTAATATAAAAATTATTGAAGAACTTTTTTTATATCGTAAAGAGTAAAGAGGAGTTTTAATTTTTTTTTTTTTTTTTCTCTCTTCAAATCTTCAAATTATTAAAATATTAAGGAAATTTTTTTTTATTTAAGATTTTTTTATATATAAAAATAGTTTTTTTTTTTAAAGTAATATTTTTTTTGATTTATGTAGACTTTTATTGGTTAATTAAAATAAAATACCTATTTTTGTCTAATTCCCATAAAGTAACAAACAGTCTTGCATCAATAGTCACTTGAATATTCTAAATTAAGATTCAAGTATAAAACGATTTGTGTTCTCCTATTTAACAATTTTTTTTATAAAGAGAACCTTTGTTTTTTTTAAAAATATATTACATGGTGCAGTATAACTTTTAAAGATTCTAAAAAAAAAACAACGAATTTTTTTCCTCTTGAAAAAGAAAAATTTGGCAAGTTGTATGTGTGATCAAAATACTTACGATACGCTTTCATCTTGTGTATCTTGTTATTCTAATGGAAACAGTAATATAAAAGCTGCAGACTTTAAGGATTATCAAAAATCCTGTAAAACTTATGGTTTTACATTTGGTCCACCAATTAAGGATGATTCTTCCCCAACTTCGAGTATTGCAGTAAAAGTATCAATAGCAATTGCTGGTTTCGTATTTATACTTGGATGTGTCTTAATTTGGTTTTGGTATAAAAAGAAATCTAATTCAATGAATAAAGATGAAGAATTTAAACGTGAAATCATTTTAACAGAACAAGAAAGGTCTGCTCATCAACCTCATCCATCATCACCTAATAATAATTCGAAATCATCAAATCAAAGATTATCTAACAATAGTACACAACCTCTGAATCCAAGACTATCAAATAATAGTTCTTCATCACAGAATCCAAGGNTTTTTTTTAGATAAAAATTTGGCAAGTTGTATGTGTGATCAAAATACTTACGATACGCTTTCATCTTGTGTATCTTGTTATTCTAATGGAAACAGTAATATAAAAGCTGCAGACTTTAAGGATTATCAAAAATCCTGTAAAACTTATGGTTTTACATTTGGTCCACCAATTAAGGATGATTCTTCCCCAACTTCGAGTATTGCAGTAAAAGTATCAATAGCAATTGCTGGTTTCGTATTTATACTTGGATGTGTCTTAATTTGGTTTTGGTATAAAAAGAAATCTAATTCAATGAATAAAGATGAAGAATTTAAACGTGAAATCATTTTAACAGAACAAGAAAGGTCTGCTCATCAACCTCATCCATCATCACCTAATAATAATTCGAAATCATCAAATCAAAGATTATCTAACAATAGTACACAACCTCTGAATCCAAGACTATCAAATAATAGTTCTTCATCACAGAATCCAAGGTTATCAAGTAATAGTTCTTCATCACAAAATCAAAATCCAAGGTTATCAAGTAATAGTTCATCATCATCTCCGACTCAAAGATTTTCAAGTAATCCACAATTACCAATACAAAGGTTATCAAGTAATCCACAATTACCAATACAAAGATTACCAAATAATAATTTACAAATAACAACTAGATTACCAAGTAATTATTCTCAATCATCATCTGAAAGGTACCCTAGCAGTTATTCTCATTCATCAACTGAAGGTTTATTACCTAGCAATGAACCTAATCTTCCAACTCGTCCAAGTTTATATACTCCTCCTAGTACAATTCAAATTCCATCACAATCTCAATATTTTGCTCCACATTTTAATATTCCACCTCAACAAACTCATTTTCTTCCACAACAACCTACTTATTCACTAATTCAACCAACTTCCGCACAAACTTATACACATCCACCTCCACAACTTCCTCATTTTAATAATGGTAATTCACTTCCTGGTCCTGATCCCATGTTTTCGAGAATTCCTCTTCCCCCTCCCCCTCCTCCCCCTCCCCCTCGTAATTATTATAATCCTAATAATTATTATGGTGGTCATAGTTAGAATATACTATATATATTACCAACGAGTATATATTCGTTTTATGTTAAATAATGTTTCTAAATGTACTTTTAATTTGTATAATATTGTTCAACTGTAACTGTAACTTTATCTTTTGTAAATAAACTGATTTATATTTTTATAATGTTAGTGTATAATATTAGAGTCTAATTCCAAACGGACTTCTATTAGAACAAATAAAGGAGGATTCGTATCGCATTTATTATTCCGAAATAAATAATTTTTGATTAACTTGAGGCTTTTATTATTTCATTTGCTATTTCTTTGCGGTAGAAACATTTTGGCTTCAAATATTAAAGAATCAGATAAAGTATTAGGATTTTGGAAATTTGAAAATTTTTAAACATTTAAACAGTGAATAACCGTTTAAGCAGAGAATAGTCGTTTAAGCAGAGAATAACCGTTTAAAATAGAAAATTGTATCTTACAAAAATTGTTTAATTTGTCAAATTTGTCAATAAAAGTGCAAACCCAGAAAGATTGGACACGCAATTCATACCTCTTTTTTATGAATAGCTCTGTCTTTAGATTATAGTCTCTTTTTATAGTTAAACGGATGAATATTTCATTTTGTCATTTAACAGATAAACCGGAAATAATCACGTGTAATTCTTAACGTATGCAGGAACTAAACAAAATTGGTAATTATAATTTCAGTCTAATCCAAAATTGTTACAACCATTTATGTTATGACTATTTTCAACGAACAAAGGACAAATTGTTCAGTATTTTCGGTCGTACTGCTAAATGATCTATTATTAGTCATGTTATTTTTCATCATTTTTTTTTTTTTTTTTTTAAAAAAAAAAAAAAAAAATCTAAACTATCATGAAACCCATGAAACCTCTAGAACAATTTATTAAAAATAATATTCAAGAAAAAATTAAAGATATAAAATATTTTAAAACATGGTTTAATGAAAATTTAGCTATAGTTATAATTTTAATTACTGGAAATCCTTTTAAAAAATATGAAGCCACGTTAATTATTCATGAACCTGCTGAAAGAATGATGAATAGAATTTTTATAATACTTAAATGTATAGCGAGTGATTTAAAATTAAATAAAATCAAAAGAAAAATAGATATAATTAAAAAAAAATTGAATGAAGATAATCCTGGAATTCATTTCAATTTTTTTAATAATAATATTATAGAAACAAAATTACCTTTTGATATTAATAATATTAATCCTGATGAATATATTAAACCATTAGATATTATTAAAATAAAGAGAGGTGGATATAAACATGTTGCTATTTATTTAATTGATGGTAAAGTTTGTCAAATAGATGGCGCGAGAGGAAATTCTGGTGGATTATTTAAGAAGTTAAATTCTGGTGGTGTGAGGATTGCTGATTGGAAATCATTCTTAGGTGATAATCCAGGAGAAGTAACTAGGTATCATGTGTTAATACCTTTTAAAAGAAAGGAGAAAATAATTGAACATATTGAAAAAGCTTTATTAAGCAAGTATGGAGAGGGTGAGTATCATCTTTTATTGAAAAATTGTGAACATTTTGCCAATATGTGTGTTTATAGTATTAACAGATCAGAACAAGTGGAAAAGTTGAAAAAGTATTTAATAGGGGTGAAAAGGAAAGAAAATAATAATATTTACAAAAATAATATTTTAGATATTAACAAAAGTGACAAAATGTTCACCAATTTAAAAGTATCTAGAGAACTAACTATAGAGGAAAAACAAATTATTGAAGAGTTACGAAGAAGTACTAAAGTTGAAACTATAAAAGAAACTTCAAAAGGATGGTTCTCATTTCGAAAAATCTTTAAAATCGTTTCATGTATATTTCGGCGAACATAAAATGGTGATATTTTGGGTATATTTTTTTTACATTCTGGATAGTTTTAATAGTGTTATAATAAAATACATTGGGATTAATTAATTACTTTTTATTAGTATGATATACTGTATAATTTGAGGCTAGAGTTAATCGTTAACTGGGTAATCGCGTAGTCACGTTGGAAATGTGTCATGTGACACCTATTTTTCTTCTATGATCGGGTATTTAGGAGATTTTGTAGCAAAAATTAACCATTGATTGTACAAAAATTTTACTCGTTTTTTAAAATGGAAAACAAGCAAAAGAAAGTAGGATGAGAACGCGATACAAGCTTTACTATTGTGTGAATTATTTTCTCAAATTACAGGCGAGATAAATATTCCGTAGTCATTTCTAACAAAAGCGTCAAAATATTATTCGGAATTTATATTTTTAATATTTGTTGCGAAACCTTTCGGAAAGCATTACGCAGATATATATATTTTTCATAATCGTTACAATAACGAGTTAAACACAATAAGTAAATACTACTGCCCAAAAGGGTCGCTTCATTTCTCCGACAATCATTTCACCGACAATTATCTCACCGACAGACGTTTCACCGACAGGGTCATTTCGCAGACAAATGTTTCATCTCATCGACAAGGGAATTTAGGATTAAAGTTAGGGTTAGGTAAGAAAATCAGGGTTGTGATTAGGCTAGGTTAGGGTAAGTGTGGATTAGGATTTCAAAACTGTCGGTGAAATGATTGTCGGTGAAATGATTGTTGGTGAAATGATTGTTGGTGAAATGAAATGAGCCGGACCTGTCCAAAATGGGACAAAAGATACCTCAAATGGAAGGGTTATTTTGTTTTTTGGATCAATTTGACAGTCATGATAACCAGAGTACATCGACTACTCTGCAACTTGCAGTGGGGACGTCCATCGTGCATGTTTGTGATTAACATTCAACAGACTACCTTGGGACCCTTCGTGCTCGCAATGGGAAAGACTGTGCTTGTCCGTGATTGTCCTACGACTATTCGATTAAAGTTTCGATGATTGGGTATAAACTTATGGTAATATTCAATCTGATCCCCTGACAATTTTGAAGATGTTTAAGAAAATTGTAGCTTGGAACAAATAAATAAAATGGGATCTTTAATTAATTAGGAGCATATGTCTATGATATAATGATTCACATTTTATGTAACTATTTACGAATTATATATTTCTATGAAATTACTCGATGAAAACTTTGAAAAAACTGACATAATATAATTTTAAAGTAAGAGCGATTAATTTATTTGAATCCTAAAAAAATAGTTTCATGAAATAAAATTCAAACAATTTGTTATTAATACTACAATTGGCAAAAGACAATCTACATCTAAATCTTTTCCCATCAACGAAAATCATTTTGTTTCCTATTTTTTACAATGTTAATAAAGTATACAGTGTAGTCCTATTTTAATCAACAATTTACAAATTATTCTTTATGGTTATCGTGATCGTCAGACGTGACGTAACGAGTTTTATAACTTTATGATAAAATATTCTCCATTAATATTTGTGTTAAGTATTATGAATAAAATTACTGAAATTTAAATAAACTAAATAAACCACTATCAATAGAATTTACATTAGAATATTCAGAATTAATCAATTTACTACAATTAATTAATTTAAAAATGGGACAATAAGTTAAGGCCATTTTGGAGTATAAAACCAAAATATATTATAAACAATTTTTTTGTCAGTTTCTTCACATTAACGGCTACTTTTAAATAGATACAAAAATCGAAATTTAACGCAAATATTCACAAGGTTAGTATGTTATTTTCACAATATGCCACATTTTCTGTGCCGGTTACAAAGAATTTTCACAAAATTTATCGTATGGGCGATATGACAATGGGGAATCAAACACTATTAAATTATCACATGCAAACGAACATATCCGCCGATATGTTATTTGTTACCATTCATTTTACAGCGTGATATTTATTTTCTATTCTAATATACAGTATACTACTTTCCGTTTTTGGGAATGATAATTATTAATTCACGAATTTTTATAAACAATATTTTGATTGTAAAATAATTCTGTAGACTAACTGCTTTCAACATTCGGAAATTTGTCAATTTCTAATTTGTTAATTTAGCGACTATTGATTGACAAAAACATTGGGCCAGGTCAAATCATTTACTAAATTTGGTTTAGTCTCATCAGTTATAACGTTATGACATTCTGTAAAATATTAAACGGTTTTGATTATGATTTCTAGAAAAATGTGACAATTGTTTTTTACTTTGTTAAAATTTCTATATTTCTATTTAATATTTCTTGTGAACTTTATCATGAAATTATTCTAAGAATGTTTTTACCGAATTCTTGATAATCCGCTTATTTTAAATTTTAATGCATCAAGCTGATCATCATCTTTAAAGGGAAAAGCGTTTAATTAATGGGAATTTCTAACAGAATTTCTAGAATTCAAATAAAGAATTCTTCAATAACCTTATAATGTTGTTTTTAATAGATAAAAAAGTATATAAATATAAGGAGATCATATTTTTGAAATTTAGTAATTTATTATGGACCAATCAATCAATTATAAACTAAAAATTGACTTTTTGGTGTCAGATAACACGTCTTCAGTTAATGTAACACAAAACACATCTAAATCAAAATCCAAATATGAGAAATGTAATGAATGCAATCGATATAAAAAATATTTTAATAAACCCCATAAAATGTGTTTTTTATGTTATGAAGCAAATAAATTTAATACACCAAGTGGAAATAAAGTTATTGATGATTTTATAAGATACACAATTACCAATAGTTCTAAAAATGGTGGTAAAATGATATTCGTTCCTTATGATAGATTCAAAAATGTGGAATTTATTGCTGAAGGAGGATTTAGTAAAATATATAAAGCCACTTGTACTGATGGCCTAATAATTGATTGGGATGTGAAAATGCACAAGTTCAATTGTAAAAGTGAAATTTTAGTTGCTCTTAAGGAGCTCAACAATTCCAAAAACATCAGTTCTAAAGAATTAAATGAGGTACAATATCCTATTTGATTTTCGCTTATTAATATATGATAAACAATATTTAATAATTTATTCGTTTTACAGCTCAAAATATATTATAATATTAATTTAAAATATACATCTCCTAATGTCAATAAGTATTATGGAATCACTCAACATCCCATTACACAAAATTTCATGATAATCACAGAATATCACGAGTTAGGAGATCTTACACATTATGTAACTAATGATTTTTTTAATATTAGTTGGAAAGGTAAGTTAGAGATGTTATTTGGTATTGCAGTTGGAATTAACAAAATACATGCTGCAAATGTTATTCATAAAGATTATCATACTGGAAATATTTTTGTTAGTAGTAGTTATACTAGGACGACAACAGGTGATTTAGGACTAAGTAAATCATCACTAAATGATGATGAGGATAATGAAGTATATGGTATTATTCCCTATGTTGCACCAGAGGTTCTTCAAGGACAAAATTATACTAAAGCTTCAGATATTTATAGTTATGGAATGATCATGTGGGAATTAATGACAGGTAGAAGACCATTTTGGGATCGAAATCATGATACAGATCTTATTATTGAAATATGTGATGGTTTTCGTCCTCCAATTGTTACAAACGCACCTGAAGATTATATTGAATTAATGCAAAGCTGTTGGCATCCGGATCCAAATAAAAGACCAATTGCTGAAGATCTTTTTTTGACTTTTTATAATGGTAAATTAAATAATGTAAATGAAAGAAATAAGCCAACACAAATTATAGAGACATCAGATATTGGACCTATAACAAATAAGCCAGGTGCTATCTATAAAAGCAGACCTTTGAGTGCAATGATAAGATCTGCAGAATCCACGAGAAGCTTAAGAAGTCAAAATATTCATAATAATACGTTATCTATAAATAAAAGAAAATTTAATAATGTTCTTATTAAAAATAATGAAAAAGGTGTAGTATATAATAAACTTTTGTTTTCTAATCTATTGAATAATTTTGTAATCTTTTAAGATCTTATATATATTTATAGATGAACCAATCAAAAGAATTAAATTATTTGAAAGTGATAATGATGGTAAATATCTTTACTTTTTGACTTCTTTGTTTTGTAAATTTTATATTATATAAAATTATGCTTCCATTATTAGATTACCTGACAAAAGAACTTGAATTGGATATTGATGATAATAAACTTGACAGTAATGGTAAGTTAAAATAAATAATCTTAAAATGTTTAATTAATTTATTAATTTATGAATTAATTAGTTTTATTTGTTTAATTTATTAAACATTAATTATAATTAATAGATTATATTACTGAAGAAATTAATTTTGATATCTAATTTATTTTGAGTTTGTAAATTTTACTTTGTAAAAATATGTTAAGCATTTTTCTTATGTTATACAACATTAGGTAAATAAATATGTAATATAAATTACAAATACTCTCGTTATATAACTCGAGATTGATATTTATCACGAGTGCATGAAATAATGTACGAACTTTTTACTCATTAATATAATATAAAAAAGCAAATATTTAATAAATTTATTTATTTATTTAAAATACTGGAAAGCAACAATATTTAATATAAATTATATATATTTAACTTTATTATCGATCATTGATCTGCTGATTCAGTTCATGTGATGTCCGTAAAGGAATGAGCGATATTAAAAAAAAGATAATTATTTAAACAATTTTTCATATTATACAGTAGTAATAAAAATTCGTTTTAGAAAAATAATTTTCGATTTTTCGTTAAGTTCTTTTTACAAAAATAAATAAATAAATAAATAAATAAAAATCAAACGCGTTTTTCATATTAAAAAATGCTGATTTCGGATTTTATTTTTTTTAAAAAAAATACTAATTGCATTTTTTATATTAAAAAAAAATGCGTTTTGTTTATTATAATAAAAAAAAAGGTTTCTTTAATATAGAAGACTGATTATCAGTTTTTTTAATGTAAAGAAATTTTATTTAAAAAATTTGTTATACGTTAATGGATTGTCCAATAAAATTTTTACCGGCCAATCCCTTTTTTTAATAATAGATATAAAAAAAATAAACATTTTTTTTTTAATAATTGTTAATAAAATAACACAGTTTTTTTATAATTTTTAATAAAAAAAAATGTTTTATGAAAAATAACTTACAGTTTAACGGATAATCCAATAACCATTAAACTAACCGGCTTAATTTAGAAAAAAAAAAAATTGAAAAATTTTTTTAATAATAATATAAAAATACTCATATTTATTTTATTTTGAATCCTAAATAATTATTTTCCATTAAATAAATAAACAATATAAATTTTGTATGTAAATGTTATGAAATTTATTTTAAAACAAAAACGAATTTATAGTTATCTATTGTAGATTTTAAATAAAACAATCTTATGTAAATTAATTTTAAAAATTTCTTCATAAACGAAAAAAAAAATTTCTAATCTTATTTCATACTATTGATTTACAGATTTATTTCAGACACGAATTATATGAATAATAATATTTTGCTCATTTTGTAAAATTTTGCAAATAAATTATTATTATATTAAATTTTTTACGTCACATTTCATATTGTAATATTTTAAGCTTTATAAATCTTTTCGGATCTCTCCATCCTTTTCCGCAAAGCTTCATCAGAGCATTTTATCTCGGGAATCGCCTCCCTAACCCCTTTTTTTAACTAACGCTTGAGATCCATCCTTGCCATAACTAGGTTTTACCTCCTTGTATCGTTTAAATACAGCTTTCCAAAATCAAAATAGCTGTAAATAAGACCTCGAGATGCATCTTTATTTTTAGATTCGGCACTATCAATCTTGTTAGAGAGTTGCAAAAAAATATTACCAGCTTCATTCATGACATTTGTTTCTTCCAAGCCTTCACCGGGAACAACTTTTCAATAAGTTTTTTCAGCGTACTCGCCCATCAGTCTTTTTCGCTTTCTTGTTAGAGGATTTTTCGTTTGATGTACTCGATTCCCTAGAACGTTTTTTCTGCGCATCATTCGAACCTGAATTTTCCAAATCGCCAATTTCCATATAATATTTTTATAAAAGGTATAAAATATTCAAAAGTCCGTTAATATACTGTATATACAGTACTTTCTGCTAAGAAATTTGCAAAGAAAAAGTAGGTTATAAAGTCATCAAATTTCCGGGATCGCGCGGTCTCGGAAATTGTCAAGAAAATTTTTTATTATTACATGCAAAAAATAAATACAAAGGTCCGTGATACATGACGTCTATGCTATTACTCCTCTCCTTTTTCGAAATACTCTTGAACCTTTGCTTTTTCATTACCGGCACTCTCTCTACATCCACTCTATCCTTCAATAACCCAATAATAACTTCCATCACCCGCTTCACGTTTTTACACAACTCGCTTTTCTTTCTTTGAACCTTCTTTCAAGGCAGAATCGATGAACCGGTTATTGAGTGGATTTTACTCGTGCATGAAATACCATAAAATACCATTCCGTGGCTGTCGTGACCATAGATTAGTAATAGTCATCCCCAAATGCTTCGCCCGGCTTACGTTTTCTCTTATTTTTATTCACCTGTAACGTACTTTCACACTCTGCGCAAATCCCATGACCACTTGATATAGCTTCCCTTCCGTGATGCAAATAAGTTCCTCGAGGGCCTTGATTGCGTAATCAACCCGATCAGTACTTTCTTCACCAACAACTTCGAGTTGAGGAGCCAAGGTAAGCTCTTTCTCGATTATTCTTTTGACGATATAGAGTGAAGCATGGAGAATGGCCGAAATATATTCACAGCGCATGGCTTCGTTGCTATCAGCAAGCATAGTCCCCATATTTCCCAGTCTGCGCTTTATTTCCTTTATACATTGTTGTAACTCCTCGTCTTCGTCTTAAAGTGGATAAGTTTCTTAGAATGTAGGATAAAAAAAAGTTAGCCCCTTCGATCAGAGATCTTCAGGAAAATAACCAAACATATTTGAAGACGTTGTTCTATAACTTTAATCTTTTTTTCGAATGAATATGATAAAAAAGGAAATTTACCCGGCGGAAATTGGTCGAATTGTGCCTATACCATTACCAACAATATCATATTTTTTCAACATTTCCTTCAAACTCTTGTACGAGGAGAACGGACGCTTCGGTTTTTCTTTGAGGGTCTTTGGTCTCTTTTGCAAGTCTCATAGCTGGTCCACCTGAAAAATTGGAGGAGCTAAAAGCATTTCTTCGGTTATGTCAAGAAAATCCTGACCCGTAACCTTTAATTTTGCTTGCGAAGTATTCTCAAGTCGAGCTTTAGATTCTGCTCTTTCAAAAATCGATAAGGTTCTCTGTATCCCAGTTCTCAACCAAGTAAGAGTCGTGTTCAGCTGTTGAGGTAGACATGGCGCTTTTATAGGAATATTTGGCTCGTATAAAAAATAATGTTACGTTTCGGAGTGATAAAAATTTATTTCTGGGAAAGGGAGTATAACAGAAGTTTGATTTATCGACAAAGGATTCTGATTTGCTAAATCAAATTTCATAAGAAATAAAACTTCGTAACGTCCAATCTTGGGATTTCTCAAAAAGCTTCAAAAGAAATAATCATCTCTTCATATTTCAACCTTGCTCACGTAAATATAAAAGGATTTTTTTGTAAGAAAAAGACCCAAGTTTCATTAATATTTTGGTCTTTAAAGGGTATAAAACCAATATACTGACTTTGTGTAACATGTTTGTAATTCTAAAGTTCTTCCTATTAAAACTTGGCGGAATAAAGAGATCATAGAGATCATAATGCATATAATGGTAGAATAACAGCAGAAATATATTCTAGTGAAATTTGTGTCAAACGGATAGGTCTTTAATGTAATTAATGATTTACATATAAAATAATTGTGTAACCAAGGATTATTTAAGCATTACTTTAAACAAATCATATGAATAAATCTATGAACGCTCATTACTTTATTAATTAACGAATCATTTTAATAAAACTATGAACGCTCATTACTTTATTTAATAAATCATTTGAATAAAAATACAAACACTCACTACTTTATTTAATTAACGAATCATTTTAATAAATCTATGAACGCTCATTACTTTTTTTAATGAATCATTTGAATAAATCTATGAACTCCCATTACTTTATTTAATTAACGAATCATTTGAATAAATTTATGAACGCTCATTACTTTATTAATTAACGAATCATTTTAACAAATCTATGAACGCTCATTACTTTATTTAACGAATCATTTGAATAAATATATGAACGCTCATTACTTTATTTAATGAATTCATTTTAATAAATCTATAAACGCCCATTACTTTATTTAATGAATTCATTTGAATAAATCTATCGCTCATTACTTTATTTAATGAATTCATTTTAATAAATCTATGAACGCCCATTACTTTATTTAATGAATTCATTTGAATGAATCTATCGCTCATTACTTTATTTAATGAATCATTTGAATAAATATACAAACGCCCATTACTTTATTTAACGAATCATTTGAATAAATCTATGACTCACATCTTTGCGATGCAAAAAATCAGTGATTGATTAATAATAATTACAGTATATATAGGTTTAAAATTTTCCAATCCTATTTTACAAAACAAAAATAACAAAAATAAACATAAAAACAACGTAAAATAAACATAAACCTTTGTAATTTCGAAATATGAGTGCTAGAAAGGCAACCGAAAAAATTACCGAAGTATTGGCAAATGAAGTTAGGAGGCAAACCCCTAGTCACGGTAATATTCATTGTTTAAATTTTAACATTAAAGTAAGTTGTTCTTTATAATTAAAAATGATTCTACAATAGTTGTCGAAGCTGTTGTGAAAAACGCAAGCGAAATTCCGGAAGTAGCTGAGAAAGTAGTTACGGAAATTGCTGAGAATGTGACTTCAGGAGCTCCAGATGGAAGACCTATTGTCTATCGTTAATTAATAATTATGAATTTTTCGAATTCTTATTCTTCATAACTTATAACTTATTTATGAATTATTTTTACTCATACATATAGTATTATCAAATATGTAATAAATTTATCAAATAAATTTTTTGATTGTGTTGCTTGTACTGTATAACAGATGCTTTATTATTATGAAATAAACGTCGCCGGAAGCGGACGATAATATATAAAAATTGTACATGATAAAAATAAAAAAAATACTAATTATCTGTGATTAGTACATCTGCTGGCACCGTTTCGGTATACGCGATAAACATTGATTCCCTTTTCACCGGAAAAGATACGTTGAGGCTGTGTGGGAAAATGACTATAAATTATGTCTTGCGGTTCCATTCTTATTGCACCATCTACTTCGAATGCACTGTTGTTACTTAAGTTGTGGATTGCAACGCTATCAGATATGAACCCGACTTTATATAAAACCAGCCTGGTCGAATCTATATCTTGAAATCAATCATTGTAAAAAACATTTGGTATGAAATGAATAAATATACATGCGAAAATTAATATGGTTACACAAAAAATCCATATTAAATTTCACAAAATTTTTTATAGTTTTTTTATTTTTCTCAGCACACATACATAGAAGAGCAGCTAATGTTAAAAGTTAAGGTTGTGTGTGCTAGCTCTATATAAGCGAAGTTTTTTTATCCAAATAGGACCACTGGTTTCTTTGTTCTTAGTTTTTATATGTTTTTACCGCTTGACACTTTTTTTTTACAAGATCTCAATAAAAAAATTATAAATATTTTATCTAAAACATTTAAAAATAATGTTTACTTCCTTTATTGTGTATTATTTTCAAGTATATAATAAAATTTTATATAATTTTGAAGTATTTTAAGTAGCTGATGCTAAATATCTTAAGAACTAGCGATAAAATTCACATCATGTGTAGTTTCGTAATGTCGTCATGGTGTGATTATATCATATCGTAATTATCACTTTTTTATTAAAATACGATCATTGTGATTTTCATACATCTATAGTAAACTATAGTAATTTATATATATGGCTTCAGTGACATATTATGCAGGTGACAAATAGCGAAAGTCGCTGAGATAAATATAAACAACGCGAATGAGTCATGAGGCAGTCAGTATCAAATAAACTTTGCATATATAATACAATACTGTATATAATTTGTAATAAAACTTTTATTAAATTTACTTATACAAAACGATAATTAAAAGTATTTCTAAGGAAAAAATAATTTATTCTTTATATTTAATAACTATACGCGATATATCTGATATGGATTTTTTAAAATAGAAAATAATATTAGATGAATAACTAAATAAATTATATTATCCTAGTGTTGAAGAATAGTGTAAATATTAACCCTAGAAAAATTTTTCAGAAAAATGATCACGTGTCTGAGTTTCTACTAGGAAAATGATCCAGAATTTTTTTATAGGGTAATCAATTTGTATGTTTATTCATTTGGTTAAATCAGTCAAGAATATCTTAAGAAACCAAGAAAATTAAAACAAATTACACTATAATCATCATTTAAATTTAAATTTATAATAATAATAGTAGTAATAAAATAAATAACAGATTATAACTCGAAACAATAAAAAATTGAATTTTATTTGTTAATTAATAGTTACTCGGCACTTCGTGCCGAGTAACTGTTGTATTTGCAATAAGCAATATGATTGGTGAGATTTACTGAGCGCAGCTCAGTAAATTTTACTGATCATATTCTTATTGCAAATACATGTAAGGCACGACAGTGCCGCAGTTATGAGGTCACGTTGTGCGTTTTATCAGGCTTACGTAATAGGTATTTTTTATACAACTTAGTAACTGGTTGTACTAACATAAATCACCAATTAGTAAATGCCTGTATATTGAAAATGTTTCATCGGTACACGAAATTTTGCATTTTCCATAAATGTTTTATAATCTTTGTTAAACTGCTAAAAATTTACATTATTGATCTACCATGTCTACCGAATTTTCAGTATTCTATAAAAGGTTAACACATCAAGTTGATCATTTTTAATACTTTTCGGTCGCGAGTCTGTATTCATCTTGAAATTTCCTACGATATGATAATCTTAAAAAACATATAACTAATAAATAATATTAACGTCCTAGTCAAAGTACTTATTACGTGTTGATACTAATGATTATGTTGATGTGGCTGAGAAGTGTAAATAATTAGGAATTATTCTTAGTTACAATATACTGTCTATATATTTTTATTTATTTATTCTTTTTTTAAATTAGAAATCATCTTCTCTTCAATAAACGTGTCAAAAATACCCTTGTACGTTTTTACTTCGCCCACATTAATAACGCAATTTTACAAATGATTGCGGCTAAAATAATTATTAACATCAAAAATTTCGTATTTCCTCATATTGCTCTGCTCTTCAATTGTAAATTTTAACATAACTATGGCACAATATAGAAAAACGTCTTGTACACCTCCTTTACTTCGCCTTCATTGATTCATGAAATAGTGTTATTATAAAAAAAATTTTCTTATATAAACACGAGAAAGAGGTGAAAAAATTTCTTTAAACAAATTAACAAATACAAAATCAATAATGAAATTCAAATGCTCATTGCTGATTTTCGCCTTTACTATTGTTTTAGCGAGTAAATAAATCATCACTTTAAAAGAAATTTTTCTTTTTTTATTCATATTAATATTAAGGGTTCTTTTAATGATAATTTAAATTCACAGATGCAGCACCGTCATTTAAACGTAACGCGGACGCAGAAGCCCAACCCCCATGGAAACGTGACGCGGACGCAGAAGCCCAACCCCTGTGGTGGGGGATTAGTATCCATCGGTTGTAGCCGGTAGTAGCCGGATGGTTATACATGATCTGTGCACATGATTATTTTTCGGTAATTAGCTATTTTACCTATGAAAGTATAAATATATAAACAAATATAAGTAAATTGTGTAATTAAACCTGAAAAATTTTTGGTCTGTTATTAAACTAAAAAAAATTTTTGTGTTAAATTATTTTTGGTAATTTTAAATTATCATGATGTATTCCTTTATTGCCAAATAAATGTTATAAAGTTATTTTATGTACTTTTAATTTTATTATTTGTTATAATAAACTAATAAGATACTACATTTTACTTACTTTCGCTATAATAGATTACGTATTTTATTAGTAAATATAACTAGGTAACGGTGACCGCTAAACTCCGAAGCGGGCGTCACGCTGCTCGTTTTCCCAAAGTGAAATCTTATTATTGTTATATTTTGCAACGATTTGTAAACATTATCTTTATTGTAAAACTCAATCGTTAAAGTTTTTTATTGATAAATAGTTTAATAAAATAATTTAACATAATTATAAATCAAATACCGAAATTAAATAATATGTAATTTTTGACTATTTGTAATAATAAATAAAATTTCGTTAAGATTTAATTATTGAAATTAATCGCTTTTCTTCAGAAAATCTCTCTTGTGACCTCTTACATTTTTTAATGCGTTGTAGTCTTTCAAACGAAAATGGCTTAAAAAGTACATCATTAAGAGCACGGTCCCTGGAAATTGCCACAATTTTGCGTTAAGATTTTAATAACGAAAATAAATTACACAAGATATCATTTATTATGTTTTTTCGTTTATTATTAATGAATCTTAAATTACATGAAGAAATAATTTAAAAACAACTAAATTTATTATATGGGGACGCCCGTAGCAAAAAGGGGATGGGATAATTCCGTAATTTTAAAAAAATCGCAATTTAAATCACGTGATAAATTTGGCAGATCATCACTTAATTGTAAAATGAATTGACTTTCGGACCTTTTTTTTTTATCTAAAACTAAATTTTACAGGCAATTTACTAAGAGTATTGATTTTCTTTTAATAAGTTTATGTTGCTTGTTAATTCTATAANCCTTTTTTTTTTATCTAAAACTAAATTTTACAGGCAATTTACTAAGAGTATTGATTTTCTTTTAATAAGTTTATGTTGCTTGTTAATTCTATAAAAGTAAAATGCAAATAATAAGAAAATTTCAGAATTAAACTTTTTTTACTAATATATTATTAATAAAAAACCATATTTTCTTAATAATTAGACCAATAGACATATAATTATAATAAAATCTCAAATTTGAATTTTTTAGCCTATCCCCCCTTTTGCTACGGGCGTCCCCATATACAGTAGAATCGAAGCTAATAGTACATGCATTGTTATATATGGTCACATGTATATAAGTCACGTGTGGGACGTCCCGTATATTATGAAATCAGCTGTAAATCAACTGGTTAAATTAACCGGTTTAAAATGCTGAAAATATTTTGTAATTCTGGCCAAATTTACGGTGCCGGCCAGAATTATAAATCACGGGACTTCAGATAAAAGTTTATAATGTGGAATTTTTTTTTGTTATATAAAATTCATAATGCGGGCCGAAATTCATAGTGCCAGCCTGACAAGACATCTTTTATTGACATTTATATGACACGAACCAGTCGAAACATGTGAGTGAGTTGCCATCTGTTCATGATCACTTTATTCGCGATCATTGCAAAGACCAGTTTATCGTGCAACATCCAGATTAACGACGATAATTGTTTATGGCAACTCGTATATTGTAATGCTAAGCATAGACCTTCTCTCTGAGCGTCTTGCCAATCAACCATTAGGACTTAGTTCCTAAAACCTCCAGTCCTAATAACAAATGTATAGCAAAAAATGTAATGGGCATTATAAGAACAGTCTATTCTTTTCATTATCTCCATTACTATTACTTTTTTATTAATACAGTAATACTTTTACAATACTATAAGCTAGCTATTTTATTTGGAACATGAATGACAATTACTCTTAATTATATATACAAAACGTAACAATACTTATTATGAAAGTTTAATCTAATTATTTATAGTATGAGCAATTTTAAGAGATTGTGCATTTTTGGAGAGCCGCGTTCTGAGACTACACCACTTGTTGAGTTCACCATCGTAGGTGAACCAGAAGATATTACCGTTGAAGTTTTAGATTT